CAGCATGAAAGTTGATGGCAGAGCAAAGAAGATTTAAGAACTTACCAACAGGCTTTTAATGTCGCAAGCATGAAGAAAGTTTGGACTTTGGTTTTTAAGCCAACCCAAGTTTAACAGTACAAGTTGGATAAAACAAACTCAGGAGTTGACCAAATTTTACTAGCATGCTCCTTAATGTCAAAAAGTGCTTTTAAAGCATTTTTTAACACGGGAAGACCTTGGCTAGGAGTGAACTGCTGAGACTGTGACGAGTACACACGTTTATAAGTAGTCGTTTGATAGTAAAGGTCTTGAGTATTGTTGAACAAAGGGGTGGCATGTCAATGCTGCCAGCAAGGTCCCAGGTTTGTTTCCTGCACTGGGCAATTGTCTGTGTGCACTTTGCATGTTCTCCCTATGTCTGTGTGGGTTTCCTATGGGAGCTCCAGTTTCCTCCCTCAACGTAACAGCACTTTTCACATCCATAAACATTGACCTAGCCAAAGAGACAATTGCCACACTGCTGGATGAATCAGGAAGGCAGGCACCCCATGACAACAACAGCATCAATAAGGACAGCACCCTGAAACTGCTGGATCTGTGCCTCACAACCTTCAAAGACCATATATTCAAACAAGTCAACGGAACACCAAGGGGATTGCTGAAATCAGGACTGATACAAAGGTTCGAATGGACAGCACTCCCAATATACAATGCAAACTCTGGGTCAGCAATGCAGATGATACCTTCATGATTATCAAATACACAAGACTAGAAGAAACCCACCAACACACGAACAACATCCTCACATAATAAAATTTGCAAAAGAAGAGGAGCACAACACAACCAACTACCCTTCCTAGACGTAATGATGGAACATAAGAACAACTGGGAACTCTAGACCATCATATACTGAAAGACCACCCATACAGACCAGATACTTAATTACACCACAACCATCCGAACATCCATAAATGGAGCTGCATCAGGACAACCTGGAATTGCGCAAAGCAGAGCAGGAGCACTTATATGGAAAAGGACCACAACAAGAAGACACAACACGGCCAGACACACTAGTTACCCTACTGTACATCAGAGACATGTCAGAGATGACCACAAGACTGCTCGGACCCCTAGGTATCAGGGTAGCCCACAAACCAACAAACATGCTGCAACAGCTATTGATGAACGTAAAGGATCCCATACGCATGACCAATAAAATTAACGTAATATACAAAACACCATGCAATCATATTGAACAGGACCCGGTATACAAATCATTGAAAAACAGAACTGGAAGTGATGTCAACCACCCCAGCAAAACAAGGCATATAAGTAAAAGCAGGACAGAACACCAAATCTTCACTGGAGGTGCACTGCTGATGTTACCTAGAAGGGTGACGAAATGTCTGCAATCAACCACACCGGCTTGGCAAGCAAGTCTACAACCTTACTTGTAATATCTTGCTGGTTTTTAAGTAAAAGAAACTCATTCCAGAAATTCACATGTGGCATGAGCTTCCTGAGGATGTGGTGGATGTGGGCATAATCACGATGTTTATAAGACATTTGGATAAGTACATGAATAAGAAAGGTTTGGAGAGATATGAACCAGGATCGGGTGAGACTAGTTTAGTTTGGGATTATGTTTGGTATGACATGGTTGGACTGAAGGATCTATTTCTGTGCTGTATGACTCAGTCTATAAATCTTTGTTTTGCATTTTGTTCTGAGTCAGTATTCTGAACTGTTCAACAAAATGGAAGTCCTAGAGACTTGGACTTGATTCTTTAGGAATGTTGATATCTTCTGAAATATAGTTCTGGTCATGGTCAATACAGATGTGAGTATAAGCTAAGGAGTGTTATCAAGGAGATAGCAATAGAACATGTAGACAATTGTAATATAAGAAGTCAAAGGAGCAGTGCTTCAAAAGCTTGTGATTTCAAATAAACCTGTTGGACTATAACCTGGTATCATGTGACTTCTGACTTTGTCTGTCCCAGTCTACCACTGGCACCCCCATATCATAAACTTAAATGAGCATAGACCCAACCTGCTCAACATTTCCTCATAAGACAGATGCCTTCATCCAAGGAATCAGACTAATGAATATTCTCTAAACTGCTTCCAATGCAAGTATATTCCTCTTAAGTAAGAAGACAAAACTATGCTGTAGCTCCAGTCTCACTAATGCCAGATACAACTGTGTCAAGACTTCCCTACAGTTCATTCTCCTTGTAATAAAGGCCAATGTTATCTTTACCTCCTAATTACAAGCTGACCTTTTGTAATTCAAGTCAAAGAGCATCCACATTCCACTGCACTGCAACACTCTACAGTCTCCCTCCTAAATAATACTGTGCCTTTCTTCCAGCTGAAGTGGACAACCTAATTTGCCCCACACTTCACGTCAAATTTTTGCCCACCAATTAACATCTCTTTATATCTTCATGACTAGCTTTCCTGTCTATCTTGTGTTGTCAGAAAATGTGGCTACAATTGGACCCTTCAAGTCACAGGCAGATTGTAAGTAGTTAAGATCCCAGAGGTGATCATGATCCATGGCACTTGACTATTTATCCCAGCTCTCTTTGGCTACCCAGTCCTCTTTCCGTGCTATTGTATCACCCACAAAATATCTTATCTTGTGTGGTACTTGTCAAATGCCTTTTGGAAATCCAAGTAGATTACATCTAATGATACCCCTATATCCACCCTGCCTGTTACATCTTCAAATAACACATAAGCTTGTCAAAAATGCTATGCATTGCACAAAACCATGTTGATTCTCCCCTATTGTATTACAATTGTCTCCACGCCCTATTGCTACCTCCTTGATAATGACAGCATACCATATTCTTGAGGTTATACTCATATCTGTATAACCATGACCAGCGCTATATCTCAGAAGATATCGGATGACCCTGAAGAATCAAGTCTGAGTCTTTAGAACTTGCATTTTATCAAATAGTTAATCCCTGAACACTATGGGCGATTTAGCATAGCCAATCTACCGAATGACCGCATCTTTGGACCTGTTCAAAAAAAGCAGGACAAATCCCATCTCGCCAATTACTTTCCCAGTCTATCTTTGATCTTCAGGAAGGTGTGGAAGCTGTTATTGAGTGAATCAATTTGGCTGAAGACTGGTATCTGTGATGAGGATCTAGGGAGGAACTGAGATGGACCATCCACTCAGCTCTGCTGGACGAATATAGATGAAATTGGTTCAGCCTTGTCTTTTGCACTGGTGTGCTGGGTCTTCCAAAATTGAGGATGGGTGTATTTGTGAAGCCTTCTGCTCCTCCTCCTCCTGCTTCTCCTCCTGTTAGTTCTTCAATTGTTAACTATTCACAGCTGGAATAATAGCAGGAATGCAGATTCTAGATCTGTTGTTTGTGGGAATTATTTTGCTTGGTCTATTGCAGCTGCTTCTGCTGTATGGTATGTGTTTTAGCTTTCCCAGGCTGAAAATTTAATTTTAAATATGCTAGGTGCTCCTCCTGGCATGTCCTCTTGCACCCTTCACTGAACCAGTGTTGATCTCCCAGCTTAATGGTTATGGTAGAATGGGGATTAGTCAGTTCATGAGGTTACAGACTGTGATTGAATACAATTCTGTCGATGATGGCTGTCAGCACCTCCAATAGATACCCAGTTTTGAATTGCTAGATCTGTTTGAAATACAACCCATTTAACACAGTGGTAGCGCGACACAGCATGATAGAGTGCATCCTCAGTGTCAAGACAAATTAAATTGTCTTCAAAATTATTACAATAAATACAGGTTCCTCTCATCAGGAAAAAGATGAAGTGTTGCAACCTTACCAGTATTTGCAGAACTGTTAGTAAGATGGAATTTATGCCAATTCTGAGATCAGCAATTATACCAAAATTACTGAGATTCTCATTCACAACAGAAGAACCAATATTAAAAAGTAGAAATCAGCCTAAACAATTCTTCTCTGAACAAAAGTGTAACTTACACCACATTTCCTGTTTTGTATATGAACACTAAAGTCTGAGATAATCATTTATGCATACTATACATGGAAGAGTTGAAAAACACTATAACCACAGAAGCCCTTCAGTCTTTTCTATATCAGGTTTCTAAAATACGCATGGTGTCATAAGCTCCCAAGGCAGAACGGAACTTGAACTGTCTGGTAATGGCTGAAAGGCCCCTCTATTTTCTCAGATTTAGAATTTTTATAAAAGCAGCGATAGTATCCCTAGTGTACTCTGGACAAGAAGGTCTAGGTTCAAGACCTATCCAACCCATGAGGTGTGTCAGGACATGTCTGAACAAGTTGATTAAAATAACGATTTTCTCAGACTTTTCCCGTTAGTGCGTGTGGTTTAATGGACTGATCTGAAGCTTGATTGCTTCAAAATAAAAAGCTGGTCAAAATGGAGGTGTTTGTATATCCTTCCAATTTCTACCTAGTGAACTTCTTCCTACCTCTCTGCCCAAGGAATTGAAAATAACCCCCAGACCCCAACAGTCACACAAAGGGTTTAATTGGGGTAATTCTAGGAAATGTTTAGGGAGCACTAAAGGCTGCACCAAAAAAATTAGATCAAAATTCACAGACTGTGTACAACTCCAGGAGGCCTACTTTCTCCATCTATTTGGGTTCAGTGAGGCATAGCTATGTAGAGTGGTTTGGCACAAGGCTTCTGTGCGCAAGAGATGATGTAAACCAAAATAAATTGCTTATGCCCAAATGAACTTTTGCATTGAATCTTGGCATCTTAAGATGAAAACTGGCTTCTATGTTTCCTATATTGCAACAGTAACCGAACTTCAAAAAGTGCTCCATTGGTTGTGAAGTACTTTGAGACATCTGGTGGTCATGAAAGCAGCTGCATAAATGAAGTCACGATTTTAAAAAAAATCCTCTGCCTCTGATGTCTCTGTCTCTCCCATGAAGTGATTGGGGAAGGGGACTCTGCCAATGAGCGCTGAGTTTAAATGCCTGTGCGATCTCCGAAAACCAATGATGTGCGGTGTTTGAGACGCCTTTGATCACCATAGAAACGGAACGAGCAAGGGCCTGTGTGGTTTAGTTAAGATTGAGTAGTTGTTTTATAAATAAGTAGTCTGTGGGTTTGGATGCTGTTTTTCGCCCAGTTTGATGCACTGAATGCCCAGCGATTTCTGACATGATTTTCATATGCGGCGTTGTCTGTTGCCCGGTGCTTGGTCCCTAAAAGTTTTAAAGTCGGACCCAGCCGTCGTCTCAATCCGCTCGTTTTAGGAATCTTTACAGAATAAGAATTTCCTGCGGCCATGGATTTAAATTTAAACCGCGTCGACTACCTGCAGGTTGGAGACGTTATTCGGTTATCACCTGGGTTGGAATAAGACAGGCGCTAATGGCTTTTACATCCAGTAGATGGGGCATAATTTCTACACTTTTGCCGTTTGAGGATGGGAGTGTTAGTAAAGATAAACCAGCAAACATATTGCTACACAAGCGCTGGATTTCATGAGAATAGAAGATCTTGTAAACAAATTAATTTTAAGTTTATAACTTCAGTTGTGCAATGCTTAACAAGTCTATGTGAAGTGAACTCCATTACTTCAGGCAATAGAACTCCAAGCAATGTACTGGCCCCAAAGTTGATCTTCAGTTTGTATTACCAGAGGGATGATAAGGTCACTGGAATTAGCACACTGACTTTGGAAGGAAGTGGAAGTTCCCGTTCTTGAGCCAGATTTGTTGACCATTGCTCAGAAATTAGCAATCTAGTGTTGAACTTAGCAATCTTTTATTGTACACATGTCCTATTATTGTGTCTACTTGAGAACATTAAGTTGGTATAAATTTGATACTGTCATTATGATTTCAATGTTGTGATTAAATCAGCTTCCTACACATATTAGCTGAGACATTTTTCAACTGGCAGTCAAAAATCGTATCTCCCAAATGGGCAATTGTTACTTCCTACTTCCTACTTCCAAAAGTTGTACTTACTGTGGTGATAGCACAATAATGGGTATTTGTCAAATAGTTCTTCTGACAAGAAAGGATGTATGACACAAATGTTCAGTAGACTGGGGCATCAAGACTTATCTATCTATAATGGGCTTGTGAAACTTTAGTAGAGTGTTACAGTTACACTAATGTTGGACCAGTTTTTCTTTGACCCATCCTACAGTGCGGTGCATTCAGGGACTAAAGTAATCAATGTTTATTTGTTGTCATGTTGCTGTAAGTTGCCCTTCCTTTTTTTTTATCCTAGGTAGGAGTGACTTCCCAAAAGACCATGAAGCTGCTACCTGCATCAGGACGCAGAGCAATCCAAAAGGTTAATTCACATTAAGTTAACACATGGAGATGATAACTTGTTTTTTCAGTTCCAGGCAAAAGTGTGGGAGAAAGAAAAAAGATGTCCTATCCTTGATGTAGCACCACGTAGTTTTCTCAGCAGAGATGTTTTTATCGTATGTTGTGACATTATTGGAAAGCATATTTAAGTAGAAGTTTGCATTTTAATTTTACAATGGGCAAGCAATAGACAGATCTTACAGCTAAGTGATCATATCTAAAGTCTTCAGGCCTATCTCATGAACAGTGAATGATGCTGGACAAGTAAAAGAACTGGAGAAAGACAGTCTGCAAATATCTCAATCTGCGATGATTTGGCAATCCAGCACAGTGGTGGAAAAAAAGATAAGGCTGAACCACGGCATACATCTTCAGCCAGCAGTGCCAAATAGACAATTCATCTCGTTGTCCTCCTAGTTTTGAGCTAATTTGATTCACTCCCGTGTGATATTGAGAAGCGACTGAAGGCATGGATAGTGCAAAAGCTATGGACCCTGACAACATTCCAGCAACAGTGCTGAAGACTTGGGCACCAGTTCTAGCTGTGCCCCTAATGAAACCGTTCCATTAGGTCTACAACATTGGCGTCTACCTGGCAATGTGGAAAATTGCCCTGTTATGATCTGTCCACACAAAGGATAAATCCAATCCAGTGAATTACTGCCCTTTTGGCCTCTCTCCATCATGAGCAAAATGTTGGAGGGGTCATTCACACTGCTGTCGAATGGCACTTGCTTAGAAAATTTTTCATTGAGACTTGGTTTGAGTTGCTCACGGGCTTCAGAGCTCCTGACCCCATTATAGCCTTGATCCCAAGATTGTCAAAAGAGCTGAATTCTAGAGGTGAGGTCAGAGTGATTATCAAGTACAGCCTTGATGTTAAGGACAGTGTGTGGTGTCAAGATGTCCTAGCAAAACTGGCTTCAATGGGAATTAGAGCCATGTCTTATACAAAGGAAGACAATTGTGGTTGTTGGAGGTCAATCGTCTCAGTCCTGGAATAACACTAAAGGAGTTTCTCAGTTTAGGTGTTTTCCAATCAGCCTGTTCAGGGATATTATTACACACCTTCGGAGCAGGTGGTATTTGATCCCAGATCTCTTGGCTCAGAGGTCGGGACACATATACTGTAACTCCAGAGCCCTTAGTTGCTCAGGCTAATGCCTTAATCCCAACAATCTTCAGCTGTTTTAGCAATGATCTTTTTGCCACCATAATGTCAAAAATAGGGATGTTGCTGCTGATTGTACGACATTTAGCACCATTCACAACTCCGCAGATACTGAAATAGTCCACGTCCAAATGCAACAAGACCTGGACATCATCCAGGCTTGAGCTGATTAGTGGTAACATGCTAGGCACTTGTGTGGCATGAAACAATCATCTCTAACATGGGAGAATTTAACCATCTCCCCTTGGCATTCAATGACCTCATCATGACTAAAATTGCTACTATCAACATCCTGGGGTTACGGTTGACCTGAAACTAAACTGGTTTAGCCATATAAATCCTGTGTTCACAAGAGCGGGTGGGAATTGTGAGGCATAACTCACCACTTGTTTCCCCAGTGTCTGTCTGCAATCTACAAGGCAAAGTTAGAAGTCTGCTGGAATACTGTCCATTAGCTGGTTGAATGTAGCTCCAACAGTACATAAGAATTTCCAGGACAAATTTGCCTGCTTGATTGGTACCAATCTACCAACTTCAACGTTCACTCCCTTCGCTAGTGACGCAGTGGCAGCAGTGTGTACCATATTCAAGATGTATTGTTGCAACTCACTCGGGCGTTTTGAAGCCCCTTCCAAACCTGTAGCATCTACCACCCAGAAGGGCAGGAACAGCAGATGCATGAGAACACCACCATGTACAAAATCCATTCCAAGCCAGACATCATCATGACTTGGAATCATAATACTGTTCATTCAATGTTGCTGGGTCAAAATCCTAGAACTTCCTTCTTAACAGCACTGTGAGGTTGCAGGATTCCTTCACAAATGAAGGATTGCAGATATTCAAGAAGGCAGCTCATCATCACCTTCACAAGGACAATTTGTGACCGACAGTAAATACTCATCTAGCCAGTGATTTCGCATTCTATTGGTACATTTTTAAAGAATCTCCTACTGTTGCTAAAATACTTTTCTAAACTGAACATATGATTTAATTTTATTCTTTTAAATATTTTTATTTTGTGAACTTTTTTAGGTGGTCATTGCAGATCATGATGGAATGGTTACTTGTTTTGGTATTAAAAAGGGAGAAGCAGTTGTAAGTATCAACTCATGGCTGTGACTTAAAATGTTATTTGAAATGTGCATTGTGCCAGTGCCAAGCATTACATTCTCCCAAAATATAGTCCGACTGAATAAAATGTAATGTATTCTTTAAAAAAAACTTAGTAATAAAAAAGGAAAATACTGGAAATACGACATAGTTTTGTAAACTTGAAGTTGTCTTTACATAAAATCAAAGTAGTACAGCAAAGAGAAATCCCATTTAACCTGAGTCTGCACACTCTGTTTTTGAACAACAATCTAGTTTGTCTCATTGCTCTTTTGCCATTTCCCTGTAATATTTTTCTCTGTCTGGTTTATTCTGAAAATTACTTTTCTATCTGTGTCCACCTGTTGTCAGGCAATACATTTCAAAGCTTAAATTCTCATTTATAAATATGTTGCTTCTAGTTCTTTTTTGAATCCCCTTTATCTGCCGTGTCTAATTATCAAGCCTGCAACCAAAGCCTCGATCAAATCTCTTCTTAGCCTTCTCTGCTACAAAACTGGAGACAGTGGGAATCGGGGGGGGAAAACACTCTGCTGGCTGGAGTTATACCTAGATAAAAGGAAGGTGGTTGTGATTGTTGGAAGTCAATAGTCTTAGCCCCAGGACATCACTGCAGGGGGTCCTCAGGGTAAATATTCTTAATCAACCTGTTCAGAGATGGAGCAGATGGAACTTGAATCAAGGCCTCCTGGCTCAGAGGGACAGACAATACCACCACTACAAGAGCCCCCTAGTTCCTCAGTTTAGTGCCTTAGTCCCAAAAATCTTCAGCTGTTTTATCAATGACCTTCTGCATCGTAGTGTCAGAAGTGGGGATGTTCACTGATGATTACATAAAACTCAGTACCATTTGCAACTCCTCAGATACTGAAGCAGCCCTTGTCCAAATGTAGCAAGACCTGGATGGACATCATTCTAGACATGAACTGCTAATTGACAAGTAGCACTCAGGCAATGATCGTCTCCAACAAGAAAGAATCTAACCTTCTTTCTTTGATGTTCAATTGCATGTGACAAGTAACCCACTTTCTCTCTCCCTTATGTTGCAGCAAGTCTTCCCTAATCTTGTACTCCAGACCCCTTGAAATAAGGCCAACATTCCATTAGCCTTCCAGAATACCTGCTGCACCTGAGTTCTAGCTTTGTGTTTTGTGCACAAGTACCTCAAGTTCCTTTGTGTTGCAGCTTTTTGCAGTTTTTATCCATTTAAGTAATATTCTGATCTTTAGTTCTCCCTTCCAAAATGAACAACTTCACATTTTCCCACATTATACTCCATTGCCAACTTTTTGCCAATTACTTATCAATATCTGTGTAAAATGTTTGTCTTCCTCCCGTCGTCTGCAAACTTAGCTACGATGCTATCTCTGTAGTTACTTCTTTTTGGATCCTAGATAGCAAGCCATCAGAGCCAGGTTACTTATCCTTCTTTAGCTCCTTTAGTTTGTCTCATGCTACTTCGCTAGAGATGATGTTGTAACTTAATATCCCTACCCCGCCCCCCACCCAACCTTCTTTAGTATAAATGAGATATCCAAAGTATCTTCCATTGTAAAGATAAATGCAAAAATCTGTTTCACAGCTCTGCCATTTCCTAGATCCACATAACCGTCTCCCCAAATTTATTTCCTAAGGGGCCTGTGTTCACTTTGACCTCTCTCTCCCTTTTTATGTAAAGAAGCTGTTATTGTCATTTTTTCATATTCCTTGCTAGTTTGCCCTTGTAGTATAATTTTTTTGTGTCTTTATTTTTAGTCTCCTTTGCTGGATTCTAAATTTATTACAGTCTCCAGGGCTATCACTGATTTTGGCCTCCTTATATACTTATCTTTTTCCACTTAATACTCTCCTTAACTTCCTTGGTTAGCCATGTTTCCCTTATCCCTCTCTTAGAATCGTTCCCCTTTGTTGGGATTTATTTATTTTTGCTGAGAGTCATGGATTACCTCCTTAAATGGCTGCCACTGCTTACTTAGTGTCATTCATGCTAATCCATCAGCCCAGTTCACGTTAGCCAATTCTATCCTCATTTCATTGTAATTCCCTTTATTTAAGTAAAATACAGTTGTTTCTGACCGAAGTTCCTCACTCTGAAACTGAATATTAAATTCTTTCATGCTATGATCACCACTTCCTAGGGAATCTTTTACTCTAAGGTAATTTATTAAACCAATTACTGTATCTAAGTTGACCTGGTCTCTGGTTGATTCCATGGCATATTGCTTTAGGGAACTATCCTAAATGCGCTCTATGAATTTGTTGTTGTAGCTATCCTTTCAATATGATTAACTCAATCAACATGAAGATTAAAGTCACCATAATTATTGCTGTATTCTTTTTTACATGCTCCTGTTATTTGTTGATTTATACTCTTTTCTACAGAGTGTCTACTATTTGGGATCTGTACACTACACCTACCAATGTCTTCTTTCTCTTGCTGTTTTTTACTTCCACCTAAATGGTTTCTACATCATCTGAGCCTAGATCGTCTCTCACAACATCCTCACTTCATTTCTTCTTAATAGTTCTAGCCACCCCCTGTCCATCCCTCCTGTCACTTTGAAAGATCAAATATCCCTAAATGTTAAGTCCCAGCTTTAATCTCCTTGTAACCATGTCTCCAAAATGGCGATGAAACATATTCATTTACCTGAATTTGAAGTGTACGTACGCCTACCTTCTTCCAAATGTTCTGTGCATTAAGGTACAAAGCCTTTAATTTTGTTCTCTTATCGAACTTCCCTGCATTTTTTTAGTTTCTTAGTACAATACGACATTGACACATTCTTTCCCTTTCGTTTATGTTTAGGTAACAATCAGACCAATCACTAACCTGCAATCCAACCTTCTCCATTACCTTTGATTTTCTAATTTTCCATGCAACTGAACCCACCCACCCCAACTATTTTGTTCATAACACTGTATCTGCCACCATATTATGCAATTTTCCCTGACTCTGGTCCCACCATGATTCACATGGAGCCTCTGCCATTGGAATAACTCCCTCCTTCCACAATACTGGTGCCAATGTCCCATGAATTCAAACCATTTCTCCCATACCAATCTTTGAGCCACGCATTTATCTCGTCAATATTGTTGACCCTGTGCCAATTAACTCATAGCTCAGGTAGTAATCTGGAGATTATTACCTTTTTGGTTCTGCTTTTTAATTTAGCCTCTAGCATTCATATTCCCTCAGCAGAGCCTCTTTCCTCGTTCTGCCTATATCACTGGTACCTACGTGGACCATGACAACTGGATCTGTCTCCTCCCACTTCAAGTTCTTTACAGCTCAAGGCTGAGGCTTCTGCAGCACTACCTTCTGGATTCATCTACCAGCCTCATGTGAAGTAACATCTTCCTGTCCCTTACTACTCCCCGAATATGAGTCAGTTAATCTATGGGGTGTGACTGCCTCCTGAAACACAGTGTCCAGGTAACTCTCCCCACTTACAATTGTCAGGCTCGATTTTGTGGAGTGAGGAGCAGTCCAGAGGAGATACTGTGATCTTGTATGCCTTTGCCACAATTTGTTGTTGATGGTCAGAGATTGGAGGCTTTCTGGCAAAACCAGTGGTTTAGGGAGGTGAGACACGGAAGGTTTTGGGCTAAGACTGAGAATCTAACTGTTCAGGAGTACTTAGGAGGTTAATATGAGCCTTTAGACATGTGTGTGCTAAGTCCTGAAGCTTTGGGGACAGGTTGGTGGTCACAGTGGGAGAATAAGGAGGTAAGAGCCCTTAAGAGAAGAAGGAAGTTCAGATCCTGAAGTGGGAAAATCTGAGTTTAGCAGGTGATTAGAGCTGAAGGTTGGAGCAATATGTGTGTGAGGGAGGTGGGATAAACTTGTGTAGGTGGTGTTCCAATGCACTGCTTTTCAGAGTTAGCTGGGCAGACACACAGTAAGCAACATTTAAATGAAATGGAACTCCCTGTGTCTTGAATTAGTAGTCTCATACCTCATTTCAGCTGGTGGGTTTCCCAGGACCTAAGAAATCAAGCCAGGCAGGTAAGCTTAAAATGCTGACTTATTTCAGTATGGACACTGCCAACTTGCCTTCATTATAATTAGAAGTGGGTTGGTTGGATCAGAATTCAGACTTATAATGCTCTAATCCTGACCTGTCACAGAAATCAATCTGTTTTGGGGGAATTGTATTCCCTCTATCACAACTGATTATGTTAATTTACAATAGATTTCTGCAGTTTACATGATGTTGTAATATAACCATTATTCTTATTTTCATTTTCGTTATTAGGGATCAGTGAAGTCAGCTTTGGATGAAATATGAAAGACTCTGAGATAGAGTTCCTTCAATTATACCCAATGATAAGGTTTCTTCAGTTCAACTTGAGGAGTGATTGTATTCAGTAGCGTACCCTATCATTTGATTGCTGTTGAAGGGCATATTTTACTAATCTGCATTTTCACTGTGAAGGATATATTGAACTAATCTGCATTTTTACTGTGGATGGCATCACTGAAATAACAATTTATAGTGTAAATTTTGTTTCAACTGTATTCTCCAATATATGCTGATATGCTTCAATGTAAGCTGCAAAAGTAATTTGCATTCTTGTACACAGCCAGTGTTCAAGACCTTGCCAGGACATAAAGTTTCCAGATTGGAACTAGGAGGAGCCATTGGTACTCCACAGGAGAAAATCTTTATCAGTGTTGGTTCAGAAGTGCGAGGCTTCACTAAGAAGGGGAAGCAGTTTCTTTCATTTGAAACTAACCTAACGGAGATTATTCGAGCTATGTAAGTCATCTAGTTGATGTCGTTTCTTTTTATTCAGAAATAACCCCTTCCTTCAGATTTACTGCCTGCTGTTTCACACAGTATTTCACTGATCACTGCCTGAGTGTTAATGAAATATGTGCTTTTTCCCTCCTCTGCAGTACTTCAACCAAAAAAATCCCCACAATATATTGCTTCTAAGGAAAGCATTCATTATCTTCCACGTTTAATTCAAATTTGTATTTTGGTAGAAGAGCAATAAAATATTATTTACAACTACATGATTTGCTTGTATATTGTCAAATGTAAATTCCTAATAAATATATGCCATTTATCAGTATTTCAGAGAAGTGTAAAAATAATACAATAATGATTAGTAGGGGATTTCAACTTCCCTAGCATTACCTCGGTGTAGTCATTGTGTGAAAGTTTTAGAGGGAGCAGAGGTCTTAAAATGCATCCAGGAGAGCTATTTAAGCCAGTACCTCTGACTTTATAATGTCATGATGGTGTTTGTTGATAACTTTACATATTTAGGATCTACAGTCATCACAATCTGTCGCTTAATGCTGAATCAACACATTCATCGCAAAATCTGCAACTGTTAAGTCCAAGCTGAGTAAGTGTGTGGAATGTCTGCGACCTGACAGATAACACTAAGCTGCAAGTCGATGAAGTCTGCATCCTTAGCACACTCTTCTGCAGTAATGAGACCTGAACAGTATACTTTAGGCCACAAGACAAAGCAGAACAGTTTCCACCTTCACTATTTCTGATGTATCCTCAGCATCTATTGGCAGGATAATGTCACCAAGTTTCTGTACAGTGACCTTCTGTGCAGCAAAGTGACCATTACTCCCAACCTCTTGGGCATTTATACCTCTGCTGTAAGGACACTTGTAAGTAAGATATAGAATCCCTACAGTGCAAAAAGAGGCCATTTGGCCCATCAAGTCCGCTCCAACCTCTGAAAAGGACCCCCATCCAGACCCAGCCCCACACTCCATCCGTGTGACCCAGCATTTACCATGGCTAAGCCACTTAAACTGCACATCCCTGGACACTATGGGGCAATCTAGCATGGCTGGAATCGAACCTGGGTCCCTGGTAGTGTGAGGCAACCGTGCTAAACACTGAGCCACCTTGCTGTCTCACATGGTGACTTTGAGACTGATGGTTGTTAAAATGTAATGAACACACACAGAAAGTTATCAAAAGGTTATTGAAACGCCGATCTTTACGTGGAGAAATCAAGACTACAAGGGCATAGAAGTAATGTTTCAGCTATACAAAGTCCTGTGTGACCACATTTGGAGAACTGAGAGTAATACTGGTCACAACACCCTCAGGAGAATATATTGGCTTTGCAAGAACTGCAGTGTGGATTTTTTAGTTTTATATCTAAACTCCAGAAGGGTTGCATTCATGGGGGATATTATAAATTCAGATTTAAGGGATGCTTTTATCGAAATTTACAAGATATTCGGGGAGGGGGACAGATGGGTTACAGATAAATACGTTTTTTCCTGTTGGCTGAGGAGTTTAGGACTAGGACATGGTAAGATGAAGGAAGGGAGAATTGATGGAAGTTATCTAAAAATTAGAGCCAGACCTTACAAAGCTTGAAATTTCGAGACAATTTTATTCATAGAATCCCTACACTGTGGAAAGAGGCCATTTGACCCATTGAGTCTGCATCCACCCTCCAAAGAGCATCCCACCCAGACCTAGCCCCACAGCCCACTTCTCTGTAACCCCACATTTACCATGGCTAATTCACCTAGCTTGTACATCCTGGATACTACGGGGCAAAGATATCGAGTGCTTAGCGGCATAGTATAAAGACCACAATCTCTCCATCAATGCCAGCAAAATGAAGGAGCTGGGCATTGACTTCAGGAAGTGGAGTGGAGGGCATACCCCTTTCTGAGTCAATGGTACTGAGGCGTCAGGTTCCTGGGGGTGACGATCACCAACAATCTGTCCTGACCTGCCCAGGTTTACACGACGGTCAAGAAAGCACAACAAGACCTCTTCTTCCTTAGGAGGTTAAAGAAATTTGGCTTGTCCATAAGGGTTCTTACAAATCTTTATAGATGCACCATAGAAAGCATCCTGTCTAGGTGCATCATTGCGTGATATGGCACCTGCTCTTCCCTGGACTGCAAGAAACTGCAAAGAGTTGTGAACACAGCCCAGTCTGTCATGCAAACCAACCTCCATTCACTGACTTCATCATCTTTCTGCTGCATTGGGAAAGCAACCAACATAATCAAAGACGTCTCCCATCCTGATTATACTTTCTTTCACCCATTAGGCAGAAGATATAAAAGTTTGAAACAAGTATGAACATATTAAATGTTAATGTTGATCTCTGTCTCTGCACCTTCTTGGCAGTTGTAACACTGTATCCTGCACTCTGTTCTGTTACCCTGATGCACTTGTATCGTACAATTTGCATGTAAAACAACAGTTTTCACAGTACCTCAGTACACATGACAGTAATAAATCAAATCAAAATCAAATCAATTTAGCATAGCCAATCCACCTAACCTGCACATACTGGACTGTGGGAGGAAACCAGAGCACCCACTAGAAATCCACACAGACATGGGGAGAATGTGCAAATTCCACAGATGATCACCTGATGGTGGAATTGAACTCCGGTTCCTGGTGCTGTGAAGCAGCAGTGTTAACCACTGAGCCACCATGCTGCTTCACATAGTGATATTGATACTGACAACTGGGAAACAGTCACTGATAGTTGTGACCTGCGGACAGTGTTTTGAGGGAAATTGGAAGAAGCAGGAGAAATCGAAAGTGAACTGAAGTAATTGTAACAAGATCAGCCAAGTGGACCTCCCAAAATGTGAGTTCCCTGATTGGGACTGTTAATCGAGTTCAATCAAGGAGCTCTGGCTGACAGATTAAAAACAGGAGTGTTAGACATCCTGCCATTCTAAGACCTGGCTTTGAGGATGCTGGATCGGTGTAAAGGACTTTCCACATGTAACTAAAGGGTGACTTAGTGACAGGATACTGGCCTCTGGAGTTATCAAACTGACCAAGGAAAAGGCTCAGAGAAAGCAGGCCAGCGAACTTTTGGCCAAGTAAATTCAATAGAGACTTCCATTTGCGGGTCATGTGCCATTCCAATTGATGTTTAACACAGTTTGCGCTGTGGTGGTCAACACTATCATCTGGCCAGACAAAACACTGCCAATTTGCAGTGTAATGTGTTTTCTTTAATTATTTCCACTGAAAATGTACTTGTGTGTTTTCAATTGCCTTTTCACTTGCATCATATATATTCAGAAAATTCTGACTGTATATTGATTCCTTATAGGTACGTGTCTGGTGCAGACCTTTTCTTGTGTGCAAACTATATCTATAATCACTACTGTGACTGTAAAGATCAGGACTATTACCTTTCCAGTGACAAGATCGATGATATAATCTGCTTACCAGTGGAAAAAATAGGTCACATTACACCCATACTAGCCTGCCAAGATCGGGTGCTCAGAGTTTTGAAGGTAAAGCAACAGATTTGTTATTGTATAATTTTTGACTATTTTCCAATAAATTACATTTGGGAAGATCTGTTTGTTTTAATATGAAACATATTTGCATACATTTTAGAAAAGAAATATTAAAATGACTAGTTGGGAAAATAGTAATGAAATAAGTTTTGACATTGTTTCACTATCAACCGTAAATGATGACCATTTTTTTGCATGCCTTTGTGAATGAGAAGCTCTTTATGTCTGTTATATTGAAAGATCTCTGGTTCTGGATACAGAAGGATATTTTCACAGATCTTCCCTCTGTCAGTCAACTCAGGAAGATAAACAAGAGATACAGAGATAGACAGTCAAGTTTAACCTGGAAAGTGGAGAACAATCTTTGACCAGGCTTCAAAAGAAACTAGTTAGGATATATTTTCATTGTCAGTTAATGAGTCAGTAATGAGAGTATGAAATATAACAGGTTCATAATTGGGTATGGTTAAAAGAGCTTCATGGATTCATTTGTATAGAGCTGCAGAGAGAGAGTCTGTGTACTAGTATATGAAGATATCTCTCTAAAGTACAAGCTGTCTGAGCTGAGTAAAATAAGATTATTGGTGCAGAAATAAGTAACGGTATTGTTGTAGAAATTTGGTTTAGAGACTTTTACATAACGCTATTGTTTACAGTGGGTGATGGGGTCTTGGATGCAGATAAATAATGAAAAAGTAATGGTGGAAAAATAGATGGACTAACCCTGAATATTTGAGTGGAGAAAAATGTTGGGATATTGGGAAAGGTTTGTTTGTAGGCTTAGTTTTAAATTACTTAAGTAAAAGTAATGTTCAGAGATGATGGGTTGAATGGCCTCATGCTGTAAACCTCAATGGCCCAGTGAATCATTTAAGTATCTTCCAGTTATAGGTTTTTAATCTCTTGCTTCTACAGCATCAGCATATTATATTTTTTAACATTTTTAAATTGATTTTTGGAAATATAAGTTAGTGCATTTCTGACATTTTAATGTTGTCTCTGATTACATCATGTTTAATATAATTGACAGCTTTGATGTATTTTACCAGGGATCTGACCTGTTGTATGAAGTGGAAGTTCCTGGAGCACCTAAAGTCCTAGCATTACACAATGGAAATGGAGGCAAGTATGAAGTTAGTGTTGTGTGTAGAATTATTACTGATTTATTCAGCAACAATTGGTCATGCATTGAAAGATCAACAATGATCTGGAGTAAAATGATAACTTCCAAAATGCCCAGGGTTGCAGGAACTAATATCAGGTTGTTTTCACGCAGGTTCAGTATATGGTGATGCTACAATATCATTTTCATCATGCACATTTTATTATCAAACTTCTTTTGCTTTGCTAACAAGAGAGGACAGGCAAAGCCGTGACCTCAGCCATTTCACTTCTCTACATCACATTCAACTAAGTAATGCTATAAGGAAGAAACTTTGTGTAATATCTAGTATAGAATGTTACTGAATAAAGAATTCCCAAATTCATGGTGGAAACAAAGCAATGTGAATACCAAGTGGGCGCAAATGATTTGTCTTCCTGTTGCTTTAGTTACCATTTCATCTTTGAGTAACGTGACTAATATCAGCAATAAACCATTTTTTCGAGCAAATAAAAGGGGGAAAAACGATCAAATTGGCAAGCAGTGATAAGTCCTTGTAGCAACATGATCATTGCTCACCTCATCACTTTGTCTGGAACAGTCGACTTGTGCACTTTGTCCCAACAACATCTCTTTTGATTGTTCCATTCAAGAAACATGTTTTGACTATATTAGTTTTCTTTGTAGGTACTGTGATCTAGTGTACGGTCAGTTAACTGCAAATTGTCTAATTATTCAATATGCTTAGGGGACACGGGAGAAGACCTACTTTACGGAACATGTGATGGGAAATTAGGACTGGTCCAGATCACAAAAAGCTCTCCATTGCATCGTTGGGAAATCTCCAATGAGAAAAAGAGGGGAGGCAAGGACTGCTTTGTGTTGTTGAATAACTTTGAGATACTTTTATAATTGTTTTCTTTCTCTGAGAAATAGTTGCCCTTTTGTTCATTTAGCACATTCTCTATCACTTGAGTTAAAATGGGATAAAGCAATTAAAGAATTGATAAGATATATTTAATTTCAACATTGGGCACTTCCACCCATTATTAGGCATGTTTATTTCAAATCATTTCATCAGTTTTTAAAAGGGCCTGTTTCAGTATTGTTTTACCTTGCACTGGCATTTTTTTAGTTCAAAATATTGTTTGAACTTCATGCCAAAGTTTGGCCCATATTAATTAAGTTGTTATCCTTTTGGAGTTGTTATCTTGACTGCAGGATCAAATTTGGATATTGACCATGTAGCATATCCAAAAATCTTGGCACAACATTGAAAGGCATAGATGGTGGCCAGACATGATTGATGGGTTCCCAGTGCTGTGGAACAAATGGGATGCCCATTAGCACTAAAGGAACTGCAGCTGCCATTGTAAGAAAGGGAGAGAAGAGGTAATCTCTGCAGTTAACAAACTTGTGAAAAAGAAATGCGCACAGCTCATAGACTTCAATTATGACTGTAGCTGTGACCGAGTAGATATGTTGGCAACAAATCGATCCTAGGGTTCGGCATCCCAGTCTGCTACATCTTTGGCTCTATGTTGTAGGAGCTGACAGGCAGACTGAAAAACTCCAACAAGCCTCTTATTAACCTGAATATGTTCTTAAATTAAATAACCAAGCTGTCCACCACATTGCAGGTAATTGCCATCTCACTGTCGGACGTGCCTGGGAAATGGTCTAGAGGTGGGAAATTCCAGCCAGCTCACCCGTTGTGCAGTTCGGTGCATACGTTAAATCTTTGGTCCAAAACCCATTTATCTGTCATATGTTGTAACAATGAAATGTATCTCTGCTCAAAGCCGGCATTAAATAAAAATTTGCGACTTCCTTCAATAGCTCACTACATAAATGCGTTGGCATAGTATTGTGATTTGCAATTTTTAAGGCTACAGATTAAATTCCTGATCACTGATTCCTTATCTCCTGTATTTCAAGATGATGTGTGGGGGCCTACCACAGTTGCCCATGGTATCTCTGAATGAGAGAGGAAATAAATGCTGAAGTTCTGTTCCTGTTTGCTGGTCAATGCTGGCAAAGACCCGTTCATAATTGCCTTTGGACAAATTGTCCTTGTTCGGAAAATGAACGTACAGTGTGTAGAATTCAAGGATCTCAACCAGGTTCTTTTAGGGGTCTAAAATATAGGTCCAAATTAGAATGTTGTGATACCTGGAACAGAATTTGGGATGAGAATTATACGAAGTATTTGGTCAACTGAATAGAATAATAATGATATAGGTGAGAAAAATAAACATTCCTTTTGTTTTGCATGGACTGCAGGCGTTCTGTGTGTTGACTACTATGATGTTCTGGGAGACGGAGTCAAAGAGCTGCTTGTTGGCCGTGATGATGGAATAGTGGAAATGTATGGGTTCAATGACAACAATGAGCCTGTTCTTCGATTTGAACATGTAAGTTTTCATTCCTTCGGACTTAAAGTTGTAGTTCAAAATGTAGGTTAATTAACTCCTAAGTGTAAACACTTGATTTTACATATAAAGTTTTGTTTTGAAATGGAATTAAACCCATTGGTATAGACATTTCTTTTATTACGTGATTTTTCTCACTCTCACTCGTTTGTATTTTTACCCCTTTTCTTTCTCCTTTTATCTTTCCCCCTCATTTGGTATTGCATACATATTTTATTTAAAATAACATTCATTCTTTTAATGTATTTAGGGCACCTGATTGCCGTGACATTTTTAACCAGCTAAGACTTTGGGCTTACTGATTTCAAGAATTTGAAAGGCTACTTTGTTTGACATCCATTTCATTACTTAAATGGGATCAGGAAGAGATTTATTTAGAACATTAAATCTGCAATTTAATTTGTTAACAGTTCCTAACAAGAAACTAGTGTCATTGCATCTTAATGAGTCAGTATAAATATGGGCAGAGTCTTCTGACAGCAAATAATGCAAATGTGAAAAATTAAAAATTTTTGTATTGTGCACTTTTCTTATAAATGACAGCTTTACATAACATTCTGTTCTATAAACTACGCAATCCTAATACTGAAAACTGACAGAATCATAGACTGATTATGGTACAGAAGAACGACATGTATCAGAACAAGGCTGTGTTGACTATCTCAAAGAGCAATTTAATTAGTCTCTCAATTTTACTTATCCAATTTTCTTTTGAAAGTCACAACTGAATGTACTTCCACCTCTCCATTGAGCACAGAATTGTAGAACATAACTGTGTTTCAGGGAAAAAGGTTTTCCTTTGACTCATCCTTTGAAAGAGTAAAGGCCACACTCCAACAAACCACACTGTGAGTGCTCTTAGATTGACTGGCCACTTGTGCAGTCCCATCAGTGCCATTTCCTGGGACTACAAATAGTCTTGTAAAGAAATGTCATGGATGCTGGAGATGAGCAAGTCCTGGGTTTTTCCGGTGGGGGAGGGATATGGCACCTTAGGGATGGGGGTGAAATTTGGAGGTATAAAGGTGGGTAGTTAGGAATTGCTCCCTGATGTGTACATGGCACCCACAAAATGATGTATTTCCTGCATCACCCCACCTTCTTCCTTTTCACCAATTTGGTGGGTAAAAAGTAGCCATCACACTCTCACCTTCCGGGCACTGGAGTGGACCGAAGGCCTTAAGTGGCAATAACTGACAACCTTAAGGGGCTCAACAGTCCTAAAGATGGGTGGGACTGTGTGACCCTTTTCCACACCTCGCCCTCCTCTCCCCATTTTTATTAAGCAGACCAGTTAGGGTGGACAGGAACATGGTGGGAAAGCTATCTAATGCTATGTGTGTACTCCCCCCTGCTGAAAACAACCAAGTAGGGTGCCATGAAGTCCAGCCCCTCATGTTATCTTTGATTATTTTGACATGTCCAATAAGAGCAGTTTTTCTCTTTCTACTCTGGACCATTCATGATCTTGAGCACTCCCATCAGTCTTTTGAACCTTCTCTGATCTTAATCCATCATTGAATTCCCTCATCCCTGGACCATTTTTGTAATCTTTACTCTTTCGAAAGCCTTCACATCCTTCCCAAGTGAAGTTCCTAGAATTGGACAGAATATTTCAGTTGAGAAACGGGTTCATGATGATTCTCTTGCTTTTGTATTTGCATCTCTTTTTTTTCCACAAAGGCCAGGATTCTGTATACTTTGTAAACTTTCTCAGTCTGTCCTACTGTCTCCAACAGTCTGTGTACGTATACCCCCAGATCTTTTTCCTCTTGAACTCTATTTAGAGTTGCATCTTTTAGGTTATATTGTCATTTCTTGTTCCTGCCAAAATATATCCCAGTTCTCTCTCTGTTTAATCTGCTATGAATCTGTCAATTCCATTAACTTGTATAGATCCTCTTTAATTTTGTCACTAGCCTCTTTGTGATCTGCAATACTTGCAATACACATACATATATTTAAGAATACATATATATGCACACTTTTCTGCAATAGTTACATATCTTTTTAATCATTTAAGGGATTTAAGCATCTCTGGCAAGACTTGCATTTATTACCCATTTCTAAATGCCCTTGAGAAAGTGATATCTGGTGCCTTCTTCAACTGTTGCAGTCCATGTGGTGTAGGTAAACCCATTGTGCTTTAATGGACTTGATAAACTTTGAGTCAGTGAGATTGAAGGAATGGTGATTTATTTCTAAATCAAGATAGTGCTTTGAAACTTGTAGGTGGGGGTGTTCCAATAAGCCAGCAATCTCCTACTTGGTGGTAGAGATCACTGGTTTGAAAAGTGCCCTTGAAGGAATCTTGATCAGCTGCTGCATAAATCTGTAGTTAGTGCACACCAGTATGCACTGCTAATGGAGGGAGTAGTTATTTAAAGTGGTGAAAGGGTGCCAACTGAGGACTGTTTTGGCCCGGGTGATGTTAAGCTTTTCTAGGTGGTGTTGAAGCACGTTCATCCAGGCAAATGGAGAATATTCCGTCAAAATCCTGACTTCTGCCTTACAGATAGTCCCCAGATTTTTGGGAAGTCGGATGATGAGTTATTTGTCCCTGAAATCCTAGCTTCGGGATTGCTCTTGTAACCAAAATTTTTAAGTGGCTCGTCCAGTTGAGTTTTTCGTCAGTGGTAATTCCAGGATGTTGATGATAGTATAGTCAATTGCAGTAATGCCCTTGAGCATCAAGGAGAATTGACTAGATTCTTTTTTATTGGATCTGGTCATTTCCTGACACTTATGTGGTATGAATGTTATTCTCCACTTATTACCCCAAACCTGAATGTTGTCCTGGATATATGTGGACACTGACTTTAATAACATTCTCAACACCGCAGATACTGAAACAATGTGTAATTAACTTCGAATGTCCCAATTTTTGACTTTAATGACCTTTCTACCAAGGTAACGAAGCAGCTGAGGATGCTTAGGTGTCAGACAATATCCTGAGGAACTCCTGTAATGATGTTCTGGGGCTGTGATGATTTGGCCTTAAGCAATCCCAAACATCTTCCTTTGTGTTAGGTATGATTCCAGCCAGGTTTCAGTTGAATTCATTGACTTTGGTTTTGCCATGAAAACTTGATGCCAGACTCAGTCAAATGCTACCTTGATCTCTTGGACAATCACTCTCCTCTTAGCTCTTGAATTCAGCTGTTTGGGCCAAGAATGTAATAATGTATGAAGCTGTGTGGCCCTGGTGGAATCCAAACTGAGCATTGGTAAGCAGATTACTGAGTAAGTGCTGTTCCATAACACTGTTGATAACACCTTCCATCACTTTATTGATGTTGGAGGTGATTGTTGTGACATTAATTGGGTGGATTGAATTAGTCCTGCTTTTTGAAGACCTTCCCGAGCTAAGCAGTTTTCTGCATTGTTGGCTAAATGATTTGGAACATTTGGGGTATCCGTGTTTTAATTTATTTCATGATGCTTTATGATGTCCCATGTTTAAAGTTCTTAATATTATCTGTGTGGGTGCTTTTGTGTTTTGATTCCATGCCCATTGTCTTTGTTCCATTTCTTTTTAAATGTTGCTCATCTGTTCTGCTGAAGTGTCTTTACCTGAAGTATAAAAGTGTTTTATCTACTTAGATAATGACTGATCTGGTGAGTGTTTTTTGCATTTCTGTTTTAGTTTTAAAAGAGACATTATTTTAGGTCTGATCTGAAAGCAAAAGAGGAATTGACACAAGAATGCAGAGGCATGACTGAAGAGTTAAATAAATACTGTGCATTTGACTTCATAAAAGAAGGGGATACTGCCCAGCCATGGTGACAGAGGGGGAAATTTTGTCACTAAAAGAGTTCAAAATTAATAAGGAATAAGTATTGGATAGTTTTTTAGCGCTTGACAAGGCACTGGGACCAAATGAGAAGCATCCAAGGATTTTGAAGGAAGTGAGGGTAGAAATTGCGGACGCACTAGCCATAATCTCTCAGTCTTCCTTGGCCTCTGAAGACTAGAGAATTACAAACATAATGGCCTTGTTCAAGAGAGGTTGTGAGGATAATTCCAGCAATAATAGACCAGTTAGTTTAACTTTGGTGGTGGAGAAACATCTAGAAATAATTATTCTGGATAGAATTATTAATCGCAAGGAAAAATGTGGATTGATTAGGAAGAGTCAGCACAGATTTCTAAAGGGTAAATTGTGTTTAACTTATTTGCTGGAGTTTCTTTTGAAGAGGTAGCAGAAACGGTTGGTGAGGGTGACGCTGTTGATGTGGTATATGTGGATTTTCTGAATACGTTTGATACAGTGCCACACAACAGCCTTGTAAGGAAAATTATAGATCATGATATAACAGGGATAGTAGTTACATGGGTACAAAGTTAGCCGAGTGATAGGAAACACAGACTGATGGACAATGGATTTTTTTGAGTTGGAAGAAGTTTTGAGGCAGAGTTCCCCAGGGGTCGGTATTGGGACATTTGCTTTTCCTGATTTATATTAATGATCTGGATCTTAGTGTGCAGGAGACAATGTCAGAGTTTGCAGTTGACACTAAATTTGGAAAAATTGTAACCTGTTAAGAGGACAGGATGGAAATCCAAAAGGACATTGACAAGTTGGTTGAGTGGGCATAATAGGTGACAAATTTGTTTCAGTGCAGAGAAATGTGATGTATGCATTTTGGTCAGAAAAGCATTGAAAGACCATAAAATGATGAGTGCAATTCTAAAGGGGGTGTAGGGTCAGAGGGACCTGGGTGTATGTGTGCACAGACTGTTGAAAGTTGCAAGTCAAGTGGAGAGAGTAGTTAATAAAAAATACAGTGTTCTCGGCTTTATTAATAGGTGTATAGAGTACAAGAGCAAGGAGCTGATGTTGAACTTGTACAAGACACTGTTAGATCTCAGCTGGAGTATTATGTACAATTGCAGGTGCCACATTATAAGAAAGATGTGAATGCTTCGGAGACAGTGCAGAAACAGTTTACAAGAATGACTCCAGGAATAGGAAACTTTACTTATGAAGGTAGATTGATGAAGTTGGGACTGTTCTCCATGAAGAGAAGGCAGCTGAGAGCAGATTTGAAAGTTTTCCAAATCAGAAGCCGGATGGACAGTATAGATGGGGAGAAGCTGTTCCTGCTCGCAGAAGGAAGAAGAAAGAGGGCATAACTTTAAAGTGATGTACAAACGGAGAAAGGGCGATATAAGAAAAAACGTTTTCTCTCAGTGCGTCATTAGGGTATGGAACATGCTGAGGACATTGGATGATTATTTGGATAGAAATGGTGTGCAGGGACATGGGGGAAAAGGCAGGAGATTGTGCCTGTGCTGGTTCAATTACCTAGTGCCAATGAGTTGAATGGCCTCCTTCCACTCCTTATCAATTCCATAATTCTATGATTTTGTAGGATAATGATTAAATTTTACTTGTTTCAATTAAATTATCTTCACCAATGCTGTGAAAGTGAATAATTCAGTTTATTGCCTTACTGTTCCTAGCCTATCAGCTTGCAATCTATCCTGTGATCTGGGCAGATGTTCAGAATATTTGTTACATTGTATTTAATGACACTCTCACTGATCTCTGAAAACCCTCTCCACCATCTAAAAAGTTCAAGTCAGGATCGTACTGATGTACCATCACTTGTCTGTCCACTGCTGAAGCATTACTCAAGAAACATGAAAACATTTTGGGTATAACAGCTGAATTGTTCTGCACTAATGCCATCGACATCCAGCCCTTCCATTACTGGTGTGTTGCAGTTGCAGTATGTCCTCACTAGATTCCTTAGCTATTGGGAGGGAAAAGAAACAGAATAGTATTTTCAGTCTACTCCCATGCACTTCTCAACAGAGATGTTTAAACCTTCTTAAATATTTCCATGGAAGGAAAGATGGATAACTTATTCAGAAGGGAAATAATTCCAACAAGTAAATGAAAACTTTTTTTATCTACTTCGGGATATAAAGACGTGTACTGTAAAATATTTATGGAGCATTTACAAAAGTTATATTTTTGTGTATAATTACACATTCTAGACTTTGGCTGAAAGCATCACTTCTATTCAAGGAGGGTGTGTTGGCAAAGAGGGTTATGATGAAGTGTTGACTGCAACATACACAGGTAAGAAAATAGATTTTCCATTTTTGAATTGATCATACTTTAAGGAAACAAAAATTAATCTGTACAACCTCCTCAATATCCAATATATTGGCTAACTGTTACTGAACCGCATCGAACCTAATCATTTGGATTAAGTATTTGATCTCAGCTGGTCAACAGTGCAGTTGTTGTCATTGTATCTGGCCTAGGGAGGGTATCAGCTATGGTTCCACTCATGACTGATGTTTCCAGAAAGTATGTATATGTGAACGTTAATTAAAGACAGGATTGTGCTTTGCTATGTTACTCCAAGCAATAAAATAGTCTGCTGGTATTGTGGCTAGGTTAATGCTGTCTAGGTCTTGAGAACTGAGTTTGTGTCAGCTTAGTCTAGTTCTAAATGGCAAGGACTATGGCAACAATAGTGATTAAAAATTCAACTTCACTTACACCTTAATTAGAGATTAGAACACACTAATGACTTATCTTGTTCTGCACAAAAATTAATTCCAAAATATTTTAAATGTTTATATTCTACCATTTAAAAGTGACATTATTTATGTAGCATCTTTACTGCAGTTAAACATGCCAAGTCGCTTCACAGGATTGTGATCAGACAGAAATTAATACTGAGCCAAAGGTGGAGAGGTGGCTATATTTGGTACGACTGTCTTAATTCATCAAAGGTCTAGGTTTTAATGGAGAGGGAAGTGAGGAGGTGAAAAGAAAGTGTGAAAAGGAATTCCAGACCTTAAAGTCTAGCTTACTGGAAACACTATTTGTCAATGTTAGGGTGAAGCTTAACAGCCAGATAGGAGGATGCAGAACTATTGGAGGTATTTAAACTAGGGAAAACTAAAGGTATAAGAAGGACAGAGGCCAGTGAAAGCTTTTAATATTAGAATTAGAACTTTTTAATTAAACTGTTAATGACCACAAGCCAGTGTAGGTCATTGAGTACAGTGGTGAATAGAATTAAAATTATCTTTATTGTCACATGTAGCCAAATGGGAATTTACAATTTGCCACTTATGGGGCCATCTTACAATCAAGGTACGGATTCTTAATTACAAATTCTTAGAAAAAAAAATTAGAAAGATAAAAAAGTAACGAGTCCAGCATTGCAGATCATAGGAATCAATTATAAAACTAAAACAAAAAATTCAGAATAACAGTCCTTCCTACCAAGTCCATGCTGGAACCTAGCCTGTAGTCCACACCGGGCCTTGATCCTAGATGGTGTCAAGCTTCAACTCTTGAAGCCAGGACACTGCTCTGGAATCATCCTGAGGCTGGAAGTCCGCGCCAGGCCAGGATGCTGCCATGCTGGACCAAGAGGCCACCATAGTGTTTGGAATTAGGTGTGAGTTAAGATATGGACAATCTGAGACTGGGGAGATATAGAATTATTGGCTAGAAAATGGAGTATGTAGTGTTCAGTGTTTCCACTATTGGTTAAATAGAGAAAATGTTGGCTCATGCAGAACAAGTCTCACAACATACAGGACAAGTTTAGAGGAGGTGGAAATGTAGAGAAGGCAGTTGTCATTCTGCGCTTGAAATCTAACATTAAAAACCAAAAGAACTGTGGATGGGGAACAAAAACAAAGTTGCTGGAAAAGCCAAGCAGGTCTGGCATGTGAAGGAAAAAACAAAGTTAACATTTCGGGTCCTATGACCCTTCCTTAGAACTTTGAAATCTAACACGTTATTTTTGAATGATATTGCCAAGGGGCAGTGTATAGATGATAAAGATAAATGGATGAAGAATAAATCCTTGGGAACCTCCAAAGGCTGTACTCCAGGGTTGGAAGAGAAGCTATTGCAGGAAATTCTGTGGCTACAGCTGAATTGGAAAGACTAAGACCCAAGAACAACAGTTTGAACACTGCTTGAAAATGTGGGAAAGGTATTTGAGGATGATGTGATCTGCCTTGTCAGATACTCAGACAGGTGAGGATTGGGAAGGGATAGTACAACACAGAAGATCTATTTTTTGACTTTGGCTAGCATTGCAGACAAAAATATGTTTGGAGATGTTCATATATGGATTGCAGGAAATTGACCATAAATCTGGGAGATGATCAAATGTTGAAGTATTTTGTAGAGGAAAGGAAGGGTTGGTATTTAGTACTTTTGATGCAAGGATGACTCAAACAGATTCAGGAGGTTGGAAATATCTATGATATCTGTGAGCACATGGATCAGGAAGGGAAGTTGAATGGTCAGCAGTTTAGTGAGAATAGAGCTGAGAGCTGGAGATTAATCTCAGGGACAAGATGGTCTTGGAGAAAGCATGAATGGATAAACAAGAAAAATATGTTGGTTCATGCAAGTTCACCTTAGGAGAAGCTTGGTGGGCATAGGGAAGGGAAGGATGCAGTAGAAGCAACTGAATAAATTCCTGATTTGTGTGTACATTTGTGTTCTGTCTAAATCCATTTGAAGGAATGCATGATATCAAGTTCATAATACTTCCTTTTACAAACAGTTCTGTGTATTTCCATGTCTTTGTTTCAATCAAATGGAAGGGTAAAAATGACCAAAATAAAAGACCTACCCAACACACTTGTGAACATTACCTGCTGGATGTTTGTTGTGTTTTAATATAAATGTAATGGTATTCAGTATGCATTTTCTGGTTTACAAAAATAATTGACTTTTATAATTTCAGTTGAAACCTAGAATTCTTAATAATGGCTGACTTTATGTATGATAAAATGAGCTCTATTTAAATTTTCTTTTCAGTTTCTTGCTTGCAAAGTGATTTGTATGCGTTTATATCATGAATGGTGTTTTAGGAATGACTGTCTTTTGTGCTGATATTTGCTTTTTGTATGTTTGGTTTTTAGGCTGGGTGATGGGTCTAACAACCGAGCCAGTTCAGAGAGAGGCAGGGCCTTCTGATGCTCTGAAGCTGAACCAGGAGATGCAGAATAAAGTCATGAATATCAGGTCTGAAGTACTAGTGTAGTGTTCAGACGTGCTGTTCTTTGTTGCTAGAAGGTTCACTACTTCAATTACTGGGACCTGTCCACCTGACCCTTGCACATTTTAAAAAGCAATCTAAACTTTTATTTGCAAACACTAGAGACACCATCTCCTTCCTGCAGCCTTAACAGTGACCCCTCTGTTAACAATACTGCTGAACTGTCAGCCTTCTGATTGAGCAGGCAGTTTTGAGAGACCGGATACCAGCCTCATGTGGACACTCGATCTGGTGGTAGCTTCTTAATTGACTCCTGGCAAAATCCTATCTGGGATTCTATCGTCCACCTGTAGGTTCAGGATCTGCTTTCAACCATGACAGTGGGACCTCAGACTTTCTTACAATATTCTGGCCATTAAATCTGTTTCTTCCTCTACAGATGCTGCCTGACTTGCTGAGTATTTCCAGTATTTTCATGGGATGTGGAGGTTGCTGGTTGGACTAGCATTCATTGCCCATCCCTAGTTGCACTTGAAAAGGTGGCGGTGATCTACTTTCTTGAACCACTACAGTCCATTTGGTGTAAGTACACCCACAATGCTATTAATTCCAGGATTTTGAGCCAGTAACACTGAAGGAAGGGTGATATACTTTCAAGTCTGAATGGTGAGTGTCCTGGAGGGGAACTACTATATAGGGCTTTCAAGTTGTAAACCAGCATTCTGTCATACTGCTGAATCCTAGTTTATGTAACAATGGTCTTTCAAGATTGAAATTGAACTTGAATTTGGGGAAACTAGGCAGGTTATTGTAAAACTGCATTATAGAACCTCGGTTATCCATTCTTTGTAGAACAATCAATGTGGTGTTGCTGATTTCTGCCGCCTCCCATGAAGCACAAGTAAACATATACAAATCGTTGGCTCTTCAACCTATTCTATCTATGCTAATACTTTAGAGAGTCATAGAGTCATACAGCATGAAACAGACCCTTCAGTCCAACCATGTTCCCAAACTAAACTCGTCCCACCTGCCTGCACTTGGCTCATATCCCTTCAAATCTTTCCTGTTCATGAATAGATAGATAGACCTATTGGATGTGGACAAAAATTCAGCAGTGGTCAGCTTCAGTCGATGTGATGCAGAGGTAAGACGTAAGTACAAGTTATTGCAAAGTTATTTCATTCTAAAAAAAGTTAATAAATTCAAACACTTAGGGTTTGTTTTCTTATTTGCTTTGAATTCAGATATTGGATTCTTATTACCTGCCAATGTCTTCTAAATGTTGTAACTGTACCTGCATCCACCACTTTCTCTGGCAGTTCATTCGACACACAAACCACTCTCTGTGTAAAAATAAAAGTTGCCCCAATGTCCTTTTTTAAATCTTTGTCCTCTCACCTTAAAAATATGCCCCCTTTACTATAATCCAGATTAAATTTTATAGACCTCATCTTGAAATAATAATCCAGTTTTACTGTTTGGAATGTTCCAGCAGGACATCTGACCTCTTTTAGTAATATACCCATGAGTTGATTTACTAGTTCTTTAGAAGCCTTTTATAGCTTTTAGGAAAGATGAAGAAAAATACAATTTTTATCAATTATTTCTTACCCACTTCTTTGAAGTGTTGTATACAACTGACCATACAGAACCTGTTTCTCCATTAGGGTAGAGTTGGAGCAGTTACAGATGAAGGTACTTCAAGAGCGTGAGAAATACCAGCAATCAGCGCAATCGAGTGCTGCAGTTTCAGCGGTGCCTGTCTTTAGTGTGAATGATAAGTTCACTCTGAATCGTGATGATGCGAGCTATAGTCTCACCATAGAAGTGCAGACAGCTATCGACAATGTACTACTACAGGTAAAAGAAACTGTAAATGTTTAGGACAGTCACATGCTATAGATAGAAATCTGCGATATTTTGCATTATTTATTTACGCACTTACCTATTCCATTGTTCCGTGGTGCATTCCCAATGGCAATGGCTCGACCATTGTCAACAGGTCTGGTTTGAGTTTAAGCAAAAGCTTGGGGAATAATTTTTCTTTGGTGCATTCTTTGTGGGAAAGCTTCAACCAATCAACAATTATACAGTTTTGGTATTCTTGCAGTTCTATCCCAATAAGTTCAAGATAGAAAGTTTCAACTTCTTTTTCAGCAGTAAAATTGGTTTTGATGTTTGGGTAATGAGCCTGATAATTTTGTTCTACTTGCTTATTTCTGTGCACAGAGTGATGTCCCAATAGATCTATTGGATGTGGACAAAAATTCAGCAGTGGTCAGCTTCAGTGGATGTGATGCAGAGGTAAGACATAAGTACAAGTTATTGCAAAGTTACTTCATTTTAAAAAATAGTTAATAAATTCAAACACTTATGGCTTGTTTTCTTATTTGCTTTGAATGCAGATATTGGATTCTTATTACCTGCCACATATTTCACTATGAAAACTGGGACTTTGCTTTATCCAAGTGATAACTTTTACACACTGATCATGAATCCAAATTCTGATCCAGCTTTGAATTTAGCTGAATGCATAGCATTATGGTGGCTGGTAATGTTTATCATAATTTGTTGACTGATCAGATTCAGCATTCAAAAAAGATGTTGCTACTGCAGAGGATATTGTTTATCTCTGTTGAGTGACATTTTGGACTGAAGTTTCATTGTCTGTTAGAACAATTGCTGGTATCACATTCCTGATTTTAGAAAATTAGCCCATTTACCTGGAGGTTTGTTCTCTATGAGTTGAGTACATGTTGGAGTCAGGATGTGGGTTCCCAAGGCTGGTTTGAGGTGGCAGATGCTCAGCCTAGCAGCTTGGAAGTCCTGCCTCCGTTATTGGGATATCAGTCTAGTTCTATACATAGTTGTTGGGCCCTTCAGCCCTTAACACTCACCCGCCTCTATCTCTTTTCAATTTCCCATGCCCCTCACCCTGTTTGGTATAGAATTTATCAGTTATGTAGTAACAGTGCCAAGTTTAACAAAATGAACATTTCAATCAGATTTTAAAAACACTCTCTTGGAAAAACAGGAATTGAGAAAACACTTCAAAGAGAGGGAAGTGTGTTAAAAGCTCATCAAACTGTCAGGTAAACAAAGCTAGCTGTCCCCTTTGCAGCCATGCAAACGTTTTGCTCAGTTTTGGAGTCTTGGTGTTCAACCAGGCATTCATCATGAGACCACCTGGCAGAATAGGTGTCAGTCCAGCTGTTAACCTGCTTTGTTGACAGAGTTGTGAGATGTAATCTGATTATGAATGCTCGTTGGAGCTCCTGGATTCACTAATGGATTCAATAGAAACAAAAGGTAAAAACGGATGCATCTAAGTCCAATGGGTAAATGGAGCAATCCATACTGTTGGTTATTGGGAAGCTTACGATAAAATTAAGGTTAACAATAATGAAAAAAAACCTAAGGAATATACAAAGGTTATTAAGTAGGTAAAAGGGAGATTGAAAGGATAGAAAAAAGACTAGTATATAATAGAAGAGGAAATAGTAAGAGCTTTTAAAGGCATGTAATAGAACAGCTAGAGTGGGCAGAACTGCTCTGAGTTTAAGGAGGAAGTCTCATTATGGAATACAAAGTTATGATGACAACATTGGCACCCAATATATATGAGGAAACAGAAAATTACTTTAAATAATCCTGGCAACATTTCTGGTTTTCTGGATCACAATCCAGACGAGGCCGCTATCTGTTCCCTACTTTGGCCAAGTGACAAATGAATATACTTAATTTATTCAGTGCAGCTGTCTCATGATCTTTTGTTGGATACAAGATGAAGAAATGTCAAGTCTTGGTCCCTCAGTCCTGCTGCCACTTATGCCGCTGTCTTAATTGCTGGTTTAAAAAAAAAATCAATCCAGTGTATTTAGTTTCTAGATTAACTTTTAACACTATTGCCACTGTTCTTGAATGAAGGGACCTAAACTTTCAGACCTGTTAACTAAATATTTTGCAATGGTTTTCACAAATAAAGTAGGAAGTGTGAATGTAAGTTTACCACAGGAGGAAATGGAACAATAAATATTTCTAACTAGACCAACCAAATCAAAATTATAAGACACAAGATGAAGAAGTTCCTGGATCCTTACGGCATACATTTGGGCAGGAAAACAATGAAGAGTCTAGTCACAATTTCACTACCTTCCTTACATACATAAATTACGCAGTTAGATTGGCAAATAGTGAGACTTCTTCAAGAGGAAAGTAAAGAGTATAATGTTTAACTTAAGGCAATTAGTCTTCCAGTAGTTGGAGGAAAAACTCCTCAAATCCATAATCTTAAAAAATTGCTGAGTAAACTGAAGAAAGGGGGTTTGGCAAACAGGCTTCAGAATAACATAGGAAAAAGGGATGTATAACACAAAATGCAATTTAGCATGCATCAGTATGGTATTGTTTATTTCTGGTGGAGAACAAGTAACTTGATGGAAAGACACAGAACTATGTCCAGCACAGAGGGTTTCAAGTAGCTAATTCCTTATAAGTGCAAATATCAAATAAAATCATAGAATGCCACAGCAACAATGTAGTTCTAAATGTATACAAAACACAGTTACTCACCTGCTTCTCTGCCATATATTTGTTGAATGAGTTATGGAAGCCCCACTTCCATTGAACCTCTAGCAAAGTTGCAGCAGGAGCAGTTCTGCGGAATTTCTAGAGCTGTGTGATTTTTAGACACCCCATAATAGAAAGGATATTAAAAACTACAGTGATCTCTAAACTTCAGGATTATTCTAGACATGGGAACCTATAGTTATGAAGATAAAACTTCAGATTTGGGTAGTATTTCTTATAAGCTTCTTTAAAAGGTCTCTGGACAAAGACTATTCTAGATGATGCATAAGTAACAAGGGCCATTGGTTACCTGTGAGTGAGAATAAAGTTTAGTAGACATTTCTTTTCATGGGTGGTTGTTGAGATTTGAGTTGCTGCAACAGAAGGTCTTGAGGCAGAAAGCATGGTGTCTTTTCAGGTGAAAAATGACAAATATTTGAAGCATAAGTAGCTTACTGGTCTATGATTAAAGATTGGGTAAGTAAGAATAGTTTAGATGCATCCAGAAAAAATGGATCAAATAGCTTCCATTTATGTATGTATGTGTATGTATAGTATATATAACTTATTATTCTGTTTTTTCCCAATAGAATGGCAACTTTCTTCTGGCAACTTATCGATGCCAAGCAAATACCACCAGGTTGGAACTAAAGGTACTATAAATGGATAAATCTAGTTCTTGCTGACAGAACTGCTGTATGTTTCCTGCATTTTGTTTCTGTTCCTACTTCCAGCATCTATAATGCTATGCTCAGGAAACACATCACTTTTTCCTGCCACTTGAATTTATTTTGTTAATCCTTTTGACTCGCACCTTTCTATAAGACTGACAGACATGACCCTTGTATATCATTCAGCATTTTCCATCTTATTGGAGTATTTCTAAATAATTTCCAAATTATTGATTCATTGCTGGCTTCTGTTAAAGTGCGTGCAATAATTCCTTTTACCTGTTGAGTTCATTGAGGTCATTCAGAGCTCTGTAATCTGACTCCAGCAGGCCCCTTTTCCTGCTCATACCTGTGCTTGCTGACCTACATTGGCTCCTGGTCAAGTCATATAATTTTAAAACTCTCATAATTATCAAATCTCCTCCAGCCCACAACCCTCTGAGATACCTGTGCAGCTCTAATTCTGACCTCTTTAATTGCTCTATCATTGGCGACTGTGCCTTCACTTGCCTAGCCCTCAAGCTCTGGAATATCGTTGGCATATCTCCTCACCTCTTTGCAATGCCTTTCGACTTTAAGAGACTCCTTGAAATCTACCTCTCACCAGGCTTGTGGTTAATGATGTAATATACCCTTTGTAGACGTGCCGGCCGAGCCGGTGGGTTTGGTTGCAAACATTTTGTCACCCTGCTAAATAACATCGTCAGTGCACCTCCAGTGAAGCGTTGGTATTCTGTCCTGCTTGTTATTTATATGCCTCAGTTTGTTGGGGTGTTTGGTACCAGTTCTGGTTCTCTTTCTCAGTGGTTTGTACACAGGGTCTAATTCAATGTGTTTTTTGCTAGAGTTCCGGTGAGAATACTAGGCCTCCAGGAATTCCCTGGTGTGTCTCTGTTTGGCTTGTGCGATTATGGACATGTTGTGCCAGTCAAATTCATATCTCTCGTTGTTCGTGTGTAGTGAGACAAGTGAGAATTGGTTGTGTCTGTTGGTGCCCCCCAACGACAAAAAAAATTCTCATCTTTGGCCTTTAAAATTTGGGGTTCTCCAATTTTGAAATTGAATTTCCTACTTATCAACACCACAGAAGAGGAAACATCCAGCATCCACTCTCTCAAATCCCTTGGGATATTTTAAATGTTTCAGTAAAATTACCTCTTATTCCTCTAAACTGCAACCACTGTAAGCCCTCTTGTGTAAACCCTTTCTGACTGAAGGACTGTTTCTAATGTAGCTATAACCTTTCTTAATTAAGGAGACCAAAACTGTACACTGTTCTCCAGGCGCAATTTCAGAAAGGCCCTGTACAGCTGTAACAACAGTTCCCCACTTTTATTCTCATTTTCCCCTTGCAATAAATGGCAACATTCCACTTGCATTTCTGATGATTTGATGTATCTGATTACTGTTGTTCTGTGATTCATGCTCCAGGACACTCAGATCTCTCTATGCTGTAGAGTTCTGTAGTGTTTCTCAATTCAAATAATACCCTTACTTTTTTCTTTCTGCCAAAGTGGATAAGTGAACAGTTTCCCATATTATCCTCCTTCTGTCAACTTATTTTCCACTCACCTAGCTGATTTAAATCCCTCTCCAGACTCTGTGCCCTCTTCACAATTTACTTTCCTACTTTGTGTCATTAGCATATTGGGAGTTTTGTTGAGGAGGCGATGGCCTAGTTATCACTGGACTGTTAATCCAGAGACCCAGATAACATTCTGGGAACCCAGGTTCAAATCCCGCCATGGTAGATGGTGGAATTTGAATCCAACATGTATCTGGAATTAAGAGTCTAATGATGACTGTGAATCTTCTGGTTCACTAATGTCCTTGAGGGAAGGAAACTGGCCTACATGTGATTCCAGACCCACAGCAATGTGCTTGACTCTCAACTGTCCACTGGGCAGTGAGGGATAGATAGCTAGCTAGCGACGCCCTCGTCCTGTGAATTCATTAAAAAAAAGTTTTAGGCCTCCAATACTTGTAATGGGTTATTCACAGAATTTGAGTGTCACTGGCAAGGCCAGCACAGATATCCTATCTCTAATTGCCTTTTGTGAAGGTGGTGGTGAGCTCTGTTGAAGAAAATTTGAAACTTAAAAGGTAGATACAAAATTGTAAATAATCTAGATTACAATAAGTCTTTAAACTCCTACATGTTTTGGCAACATGTCCCAGATCACTTGATCCCACACAATGACTTAAAAGCAAGCATAATGTGTGATTCTGAGCTAACTTCTTGAGGTTGATTCCCAATGCAATTAAAGCCCCAAACATGCACTTAAGGCCTAAGCATGCTTTTTGATATCAAAAATATAGACTTGTGTAATTGAGTCAAATTATACACTGTATTCTACGGTTAAATAATTAAGCCAGGAGAGAGAAATCTGTTAATTGGTCAAACAACAATGATCGATAAATCATGTTTAAAAATAATTGCATGTGATATAGCACAAATTTATATCCCTAAGGGGCATGAGCTCTAATATCAAAAAAAGTAAAGGACAGTTGAAGAAGTAGGATGAAACATCAACTTTAAAAGGAAGTGCAAATCATAGCATGGGTCCTGATAAATGGAAAAGATGCAAGAAACAGCGATCAAGACAAAAAAAAATTATAATCATGTGGTAAAAACTACAAAAGTGAAATATGAAAAGAGACTTGCAAGGATGTTTGAATCACACAAACAACTTGACAACTTGAAAAAAGTGCATAGGAACAATGTGGGTCCATTGAAATCAAGGAAATGATGAAAATTTTGACTTTTTTCCATCAGTAATTACAGTTGAGGCAGTACTTTTCAGACAAGCTAAGGTAACTAATATGAAATTGAGAACAGGAATTCACCAATAAACATAAACCAAACAACAATAATGAGGAAAATAATGGCACGAATAATGACCAATCCCCTTGATTGAATTTCTATTCCCAAATTTTAAAATTTTAGGGGAGAACCACATTGCTGTGGACAGAAATATAATACTTTAAATTCTCTAAATTTGGGACCACTCCTTTAATGTTGGAAAATTACATACACCATTCTGCAATTTAACAAGAATAAGAGGAGGAAACAAGCAAAATTTTGCTCAGTTAGTCTAATTTGTATAATTGGGAAATTTTATTAGATTCTAGTCACAATAGAGGTTGACTGACCATCTTGAAAAATTTTCACCTGATCAGAAATAGTTTTGTGATTATACTTTATTGCGTTTTTGATGCAGTGACTCAAGTAGTGGGTAAGAGAATGACTTTAGATGTTATTTATGTGGCTGTCCAAAAGACATTTAATAAAGTCCCTTCTAAGAGCCTGTTTGCTACAGATGAAGCTCATGGGAGAGGCAATCGCCTCGTGGTATTATCGCTGCACTAATAATCCAGAGACCCAGAACGTTCTGGGGACCCAGGTTTGAATCCTGCCAGGGCAGATAGTGGAATTTGAATTCAATAAAATATCTGGAATTAAGAATCTAATGATGACCATGAACCCATTGGTCGATTGTCGGAAAAACCCATCCAGTTCATTAATATCCTTTAGGGAAGGAAGCTGCCATCCTTACCGGGTCTGGCCTACATGTGGTTGACTCTGAACTGCCCTCTGGGCAACTAGGGATGGGTAATAAATGCTGCCTGGCCAGCGATGCCCTCATCCTGTGAATGAATGAATAAAGGAAAAAAAGGAAAAAAAAATTGAAAGCAAAGTATTGTCCCATAAAATTACAGATACTTATAGATTAAGTGAGTTATGGCAATTGAGTTTCATTGAAGACAATTATAAGGTCATCCACTAAAAAGGATGGACAAATATTTTTCTAGAAATAATGGAGATCACAAGGGACTTGGGGATTTGTTAATAGTTCATTAAAATGTCATGAATAAATACAGAAAGTTCTCAAAAGGTTATTTGAATACTGGTCTTTATGTGGAGAAATCAAGAGTACAAGGGAGTAGAAGTGGATCAAAAACAAAGTTGCTGGAAAAGCTCAGCAGGTATGGCAGCATCAGTGAAAGAAAAAAACAAAGTTAACATTTCGGGTTCTTAGAAGTTTGGAACTCTGTTCCACAGGTCTAAATTTATGCTGGATCAGTTAGTTAACAGATCTCAGATTTAAAATCAACAAAGTTATTAAGGAGTATGGATAAAAACATCTATGAAGCTAGGTCACAAGTCAGTTGAGATCTAATTTAATCTAGTCAGTGGGTCTTCCAATGTTTCTGTCTACAGTCCTTTTCTAACTAGTCACAACTAGCTTGTGGTGGTGAGACTGTCTAGGTTGGATCTGTATCTTTCCTTTTGATGCTGTACATCCACTGTTCGTTTGCAGATATTCAGATTTTAATTTTTAATTTATGCCATTTTTGTTTAAATATTTAGTTTCAGATGAGATATTAACTATTTTGATCTCATGTGGACATAAATGATCCTATGACACTACTCAAAGAAGAGCAGATGTCATTTCACTGTTCTTGCAAATTATTTGTCTCAACTGCATCATTATGACATTATTTGGTCATTATGAAATTGCTGTTTCTGCAAATTGGCTTCTGCTTAAACAACATCTCAAAAGTACATCATTGGTTATAAAGCGCTTTAAGATGTCCTGAAATGGTGAAAGGTACTTTATAACCGCTAGTCTCCTTGCACGAACCTCAATCTCCTTTAATGAGTCTTAAAATGGAAATGAGAAGCTCTAAATGGATGGTGATCTTTCTTGGAATATTTAAGGTTCAGGTAACCAGTTTCAGATTTTGATTAAGTGAAAGGAAATGAGAAAATATATTTTTATACCAGAATATTTATTTTTCTAAAAGTACCACTGTATTAATTTAAGATGAGACACTTGGAAACACATTTCTACTGAAAGTTACGCAATTATATTTTGTTTCTTCTCCACATTCTTAAAAATTATTTGAGACTTTAGCATCAATTTGTAGTTGCAGTGAGGTTCACCATGCAGTAGTAGTTTTAACTTTGATTTTAAAGGCTATAGATGATTGTGTACCTTTCCGGAGGGTTAATTTTATGTTCTTTCTATAGATTCGTTCCATAGAAGGACAACATGGAACACTACAAGCCTATATTACCCCACGTCTCCAACCTAAGACCTGCCAGGTCCATCAGTATCGGATTAAACCACTGTCACTTCATCAGAGAACACATGCTATTGATCACAACAGGTGGGTTAATGAAAGCAAAATGCCGTGGATGCTGGTAATCTGAAATAAAATCAATAAATGCTAGAGAAAGTCAACAGGTCTGGCAGCATCTGTGGAGAGAAAAGGAGTTAACGTTTCATCCAAAACGATTCTTCTTCAGAACCCAAGTGGTCAGTAGAAATGACTTAGGTGTGAGCAACATTTCAGCTTTTATGGTAGATAAGTCACCTCTGAGTCAGCATCATATTAGCATGGATTCTCATTGTAGGTTTTTGAAATAATAGTTGAGATTGTGCTTCCAGTGTACTTTGAAATACAGTATTTTAATGTAGCAGACAGGCAGTATACCTCAACAAGGATGTATTGGCCTTTGTAGGTTGCATAGACTTGGGCTGCACTCCCTTAAGTCTCGAAGATTGAAGGTGATCTATCTGGTATGTTAAGATTATTAAAGGAATCATAAGTTAAACTGTTTCTTCTAGTGAAGAGGTGCAGAAAAAGGAGGTATTAAACTATTCAGAGATGATGTCAAGAAGCACTTCTTCACACACGTTAGTGTAAATCTGTAACTTCTTATCTGCATTCCACCTCCAAAAGCTCTCCAGGCTAGATGAATTGAAAATTTCAAAAGATAAAATTTAATAGATTTTTGTTCAGCAAGGATATCTAGAAGCAAGGTGGATAGATGGAGTTAGGATATAGATGAGCCATGATATTATAATGATTTATTCTGTCATTGGATATGATGTCACTGGCCAGGCCAGCATTTGATGCCAATTTCTAATTCCCCTTTAACTTAATGGTTTGGAAGGCGATTTCAAAAGGAGTTAAAAGTCAAGCCACTTGCCTGTAAACCTAGAGTCAGATGTAAACCAGATTGAGTAAGGATGGTAGATTTCCTTCCTGAAAGTACATTATTAAACCAGATGGAATTTTAGAACATCATGATAGTTTCATAGCAACATTACTGAGATTAGCTTTCTATTCCAGATTTATTAATTGAATTTAAATTCCACCCCCTGCTGTGATTTGAACTAGTGTCCCCAGAGCATTTAGAGACATAGTCACTGAGACCTACATCACAGAAAAGGCCATTTGGCCCATCGTGTCCATGCTGGTTAAAAAGATAATCACTTAATGGTTCTAATCCCATTTTCCAAAATTTGGCCCATAACCTCATATGCCTTGGCACTGCAAATGTGCACCTAAATTCTTTCTAAATGTTATTAGTGTTTCTGCCTCTACCACTCTTACAGGCAATGAGTTCCAGATTCCCACTACCCTCTCAGTGAAAAAGTTTTTCCTCACATCTTCTCTAAACCTCTGCCCCTTACCTTCAATCTATGTCCCCTATCATTGATCCTTCTATCAAGGGGAAAAGATTCTTCCCATCTACCTTATCTATGCCCCTCATAATTTTATACATCTCAATCATGTTCCCCCTCAATCCTTCTGCCCTAAAGAATACAATCCGAGTCTGTTCAATCTCTCTTCATAACTGAAACTCCAGCCCAAGTAACATCCTGGGAATTCTCCTCTGCGCTTTGTCCAGTGCAATCACATTCCTCGTATAATAAGAATTCCAGAACTGCACGTAATACTGTGGGTTAACCAATGTTTTGTACAGTTCCAGCATAACCTCCCTTCTCTTAAACTGTATGTCTCAGCTCATAAAGGCAAGTTTTTTAAAAAACGGCAAGTATCCCATATGCCACCTGAAGCACTGTTTTAAGGGACTGATATATAAGCACAACAAGTTACCCCTGAACCACTGTGCTTCCCAGGGTCCTACCGTTCATACCCTTGCCTTGGTTGTCCTGCCCAAGTGTATCACTTCATATTTATCTGGAATGTATTCCATTTGCCACTGGTCAGCCCATTGGACCTGCGTACATATATCCTCTTGTAGACTAAGGCCATCCTCCTCGCTATTTATCACCCCACCAATTATTGTATTATCTGCAAACTTACTGATCGACCATCAAATATTCAAGTCTAAATCATTTATATAAATCATAAACAGCAAGGACCCCAATACTTCCTGTTGGAAAAACACCCCTCAACCATCAATGTCTGCTTTCTGCCACCCATGCTATCAGTCTCCCATGCCAGACTTTATCAAAATCTTTGCTGAAGTCCAAGTAAAATACATCAAAAGCATCATCCTCATCTACACACCTGGTCACCTCTTTGAAAAATTTAATCAAGTTGGTCAAACATGAGCAAAGTTGACATGGGGTTATGATCTAAAATTGGTAAACTCATGAATTGTTGAACTAGTGCCCAGTTGAAGGCAGTTGAAGTGCTGAATTAAAGGTGAACTACTGGTCCTTGAGCTTTTTATTGAGCTTTATTAAAACACTTAAATGCCAAGAACAAGATAGGAGCAAGGCAGAGAACTGAAATGACAAATGTGACAAAACTCAGGTTGTTGTTTGTTGACTAAATGTAGGTGTTCCACAAAGTAGTCTCACGGTCTGAGTTTGGTATCCCTAATGTAGAGGAGACTACAGAATGAGCAGAGAGTAGTCTGCTGAATTGTAGGAAGTACAAATCAATCACTGTTCACTTGAAAGGATTATTTGGTATCTTGGGTAATGAGAAGTTACAACAACTATCATATTGCTTATTTGGAAAGGTGCAATATGAAAAGGAGGTGATGTTTGGAGGTGACTCAAGTGGATCACAGTATTGCAGAGGGAATGGCATGTTAAAATGGGAGTGTAGGGGAAGCTGTATTTCATAGTAGTATCATGTAGTGAGCAAAAATGGCAGAGTCTGGACCAATGAATACAGAGGCTGATGAAATTGAAGGTGGGGAGAAGGAGAGCCTATAATCATCTGGGAGGGAGAGGATATGGTGAGGGCAGATACATGGGAGATGGATTGAATCCAGTAGAGGACCATATCACCATGGGATTAAGCAAGACACATTGGAGTGTTGGTAGGGAACTTTGCGTGTCTACAACACGTAATGGATAAACTGGGAGAATAATACAACATGCTGCTGTCTGATCTGAGCTGAAGCTTTGGTATGAATGTGGCAGTTTGTCTTGGTAGCCTTGGGTTTGGATGTTGAAAAATTGGGATAGAGAGTGAAGTTTATGCAACGATTGCTGAATATGGTGATTAATTAAGGACTACATCTGCTGTAACAGAAATGGCTGGCAATGTCTAAAAGGATTTAACTAGAGAAAGAGGGAGACAATTAACATTTGAAGTTCATGAGTACTGTGTTAATGTTCACAGTTATTACCTCACATTTTAAAAGAACATTCCTGAATTGAACGTTTGCCCTCTCTCCCGAAAGAAAAGAGAAACTGGTCAGAAACGTGGAGAGGTAATGTTATTGTAACTCTCTCCATCGTAGTTATTTTTGCTTTTTTTTTCTCTCTGTTTTCTGTAACTCAGGCCTGTGAATACACTGATACTCACAGGACAGTTCAGCTTTGCAGAAATTCATTCCTGGGTTGTCTTTTGTCTGCCTGAAGTACCAGATAAAGTTCCAGTGGGTGATAACGTCACATTTCACTTTCAGAACACATTCCTGGATACACAGTTGGAATGCACCTACAAGTAAGGGAAATGACGCACTGGCTGGATATAATTTCTGTTTTTTTTAGTAATCTAAACGTTGAATGTTTTAAGAATTCTAAATGAGCCTCCTTTTATTTGCTAGTGACATGCATCTTAATTTTTCATTATGGTTTATTTAACTCTTAAAATGCAGCTTGGTCAGAAATGCATTATCTATTATATAACCTAACTGTTCAGCATATTATAATATTGAAAAGAACCTGCGCGAAATAAGCTGTTTGTTTAAAGGCTAGAATTAGAATAGAAGCAAGTCGTTCAGAAATCTCATACTCAGGGCTTCATTGTGCACATTAATATGCATTAAAAGCATGCTAGATCAGTGCAAATGTGGCAGTATCACTTCGCTTATCTCACAGAAACAAATCATAACAATGCTATGGCAAGTAACCTTTTGAAATGTTACTAGATATCCTACATGAAATTAAAACTTTGAAATTCCCTCTTCTGCTTTTACCTTTTAAGATGTTCCTTAAAATCAGCCCTTTCAAAGCTTTTGTTCAGCAGTCCTAATGTCACTGTCTTTAGCTCAATGTTAAAATGTATCTGATTATATTCCTGTGCAGAGCCTTCAGACATGAAATTCCAAGAAAAGAACCAAACACTTTCACTATGCTTTCATTGCCCTAGCTCATTGGTTCCCCCACCATTTAAATTCAGGTCCTCAGATGGGCATGTTCCAGAATGGGTTGGAGGCCGGATTGTGTCCACATGCCAGTTGGTAGCAAACAAATTCAGGCTTCTGATCCTGCCATCACAATCATTTAAAATCTGCCCAGTGAATGGGAACAATATCAAAGTATAACAAAGTACTTGATTAATTTGCATTCTTTTTCAGTCATCAACATTATTTTCATACATCTGATCTGTTTAAAAACCTCTATTATCTTAGTCCATGAGTAGCTGTAGAAGAAATGGTCTATATGTTGTATTTATTAGCTTGTTGCAAAACGGTGACTATGTTGACTGAGTTAATCTTGTTTCTTTCCAATGAAATTGTTTTTGAGGATTTCTTAACTATTTGCATATGCTCTTAGAAAAGGTGAAGGAACTTTTAAATCGGACAACATCTCGACCATTTCCATCCTGAAAGACATATTGACAAAAGAAGCTACAAAAAGAAAAATCAATCTCAACATCTCATATGGTGAGAACCAATCCAAAATTTGTATCCTTTTAAGATCCTAGAATTCCACTGTTTTATGAACTATTATTCCTGAGAGGTGAATCTTTTTTTTTAAAGATGTTAATGAGGAATCCATAAACTACACATTAAAATTGATCCATCCTAAATTGGAACATCAGTTGCTTTTGGCCAAGAAAGTCCAGTTAATCGACGCTTTGAAGGTAAGTTGTAAAGATGATGTGATAGGCTGAGAAAGTCAATTCATGAGTGTATTGCTACATAATTTGCTGCTACCATCTTAGGCTTCAGTTCCTTTTCAATAGCTACTCCATGAATTCCTATCAGTAATCTTCAAAGGGCCTGTTTCATAAAAATACTCACAAAAGCTACAGCACTGGAGGAATTCATTCATCTCACCATGCCTCTGCCAGCTCTTTGAAAGAACTATATAATTGTACTCAATTTGAGATTTGATGGAGATGAATATGACTTAGAGACTGAGTGTTGGACTTTAGGGATGACTGGGTGTAGATTGGAGGTGTGGAAGACATTTAGACAGAAGAGAAGGAAACTCGGGATCAGAACATTTAGAGCATCAGCAGGTGGGGAGAGAGACTACTGAGCTGAAATAAACTGAGCTGCATTTCCTGCAAGAGCGTCAAAACAAACAACATCATCAAGGCTGTACTTAGAGCGAAGCAGCCAGTGAAGCAGCGAATTAAACCGGAGAACTGTATTCTGGTTAAATATTGAAAGATTGTTTCCACTGATGGGTGAATGAAGAACAGAGAACAATGGTTCGCCCAAGCACCAAGACATGGAGAAAAGAGATGAAGAACCAAGTATGGACTGGCAGTAGACATAGTAACACTGTAGATTTGGGAGAGCAATTCTGCTTTACTTAAGCTTGAGAATGGGACAACAAAATGCTTTCCCTGCCATCTGCTGAGTCTCCTTATAGTCCTTTTAAGGACAAATACTTTGTTATTGCAGAATTGGAAAAGCTGGTTTAAACATGTTGCAGTTAGTTTTTCATGAATTTTGCAGAAGGGTCCTAAAACATGAGCAATATCTGAAATGTTGGTGCCCAGAACCTAACTCTCACCATATTCCACTCTCCCATCACTCCTTTGCTAACTGACCTGCATTAATTCTCAAGTACAAAATTATCAACCATGTTCAAACTGATATATGACCTTCACACTCCTCATCTCTGTAAAGACCTTCAGAAACTCTGCATTCCTCCAACTCTGATCTCTTGTCCATCTTGAACTCCCTTCACCCCACCATTGATAATCATGCTCATCTAGATATAAGATGTGTTGTGCTTATACCTACCTGATGCTACAGTGTTGCATACCTTTCCTAATGTTTGCTGCAACTCGACCTACATCACCAACTTTAATACCCACCTTAAACTTTCTCTTGGTTGACCTCTTAATATCTTTTCGGTTGGCATGTTTTCCTATATTGCAAATGTAGTATCAATGCATGTTATTAACAGCAATAGTAGAATTTAGAGGCTGTCTGTGATTAAGTGTAATGGTCTGAGAGATCAGGTGATTCATCTCTTTGCAGGAGCTGCAACTCTATGAAGGGAATGTGGATTTCCTAATACCTGAATACCGTTGCATTTTAGAGGAAGCTGATAATCTGCTGGAAGAATATAAGAAACAACCTGCTCACTTGGAAAGATTATATGGAAAGTACTGTAACTAGAAAGAGTGGAAAGTATGAATGTTTGAAAACTTGGAATAATGCTAATAGAGGTCTGTTTCAAGTACATAACACACAGAACATCCTTGGACCTGTTTTGATACCTTCAGTTTTTCATCTTCCTCTTAAAACTTCCTCTTTAAGCTTCTGTATGGCTGGCTATTAATAGTTTTTGAACTCTTCTACAATGGGATTGTATGTTCCAACTCAAACTTTCTCAGAGGTACCAGAGAAGTTTAAAACTCCTGAAGCATAAATCTGTCTGCAAAATTTTCTTTTTTGGTTCCAAAATGTAGCTGCATATCCTTTGGCACCTCTAAATATTTAATCAACAGCACAACAACAATTTATATAACACTTATTTTTCATAGAATTTTACTGTACAGGAGGTGACCATTCGACCTATCATGTCTGTACTGGCTCCCAAAAGAGCAACCCTGACAGATCCATTCTCCAGCCCTATCCCCATAGATCTCTAAATTCACCACTTTCAAACATATATCCAGCTCTTTTTTTTGATAACCTAATATGCAATCTGCCTCCAGTACTCTCTCAGGCAGTGCAATTCAAATCCTAACAACTTTCTGTGTAAAAAGGTTTCTCACTTCTAGCTCTCTCTTGCTGACAATCATGAAATTGTGACCCCTAGTTACTGATAGACCAACTAGTGTAAACTGAATATTCTCCTTTACCCTATGAAATTGTTCATAACTTTGAATACCTCAAAAAGGTCACTTAATCTTCTCTGCTCCAAGGAGAATAATCTCAATTTCTCTAATCTTTCCTTGTATCTAAATTCACTCATTCCTTGAATCGTAATAAATCTCCTTTGCACACTCTCCAGGGCTTTAACATCCATCCTTAAATAAGGTGCCCAGAACTGAAAACAGTACTCCAAATGTGGTCTGACCAATGATTTGTAGAAGTGTAGCATTACCTCCTTGTTTTTGTACACTGTGCCTCTATTTATGAACCTAAGGTTTCTCTAACACTTCTTAATAACTGTTCCACCTTGCCTGGCCACTTTCAGAGAATCTGGCAGCATCTGTGGAGGAGAAAACAGAGTTAACGTTTCGGGTCTGGTGACCCTTCCTCAGAACTGATGGTGGCTGGGAAAACGTCAGTTTATATGCAGAAAATAGGGAGGTGGGTGGGTTAGGGAGTAAACAATAGGATAGATCCCACTGAGAGAGAAAGACAGTTGGACAGACAAAGGAGTTGCTAATGATCAGGCTGGGAGGGTGAATAGTTGTTAATGGGGACTGTTAGTGACTAACAATGGGGGGTGTGTAGTGGCAGGCTATGTGGTAACAAGGCCTGGTGTGTGGGGTGGGGGCTGGGACATGGGAGAGTTTAGGCCCTAAAATTATTGAACTCAATATTGAGTCTGGAGGATTGTAGGGTCCCCAAGTGGAAAATGAGGTGTTGTTCCTCCAGCTTGCGCTGGGCTTCACTGGAACACTGTAGCAAGCCGGAGACAGAGATGTTGGCCAGGGAGCAAGGTGGTGCATTGAAGTGGCAGGCAACAGGTAGTTCAGAGTCTTTTTTGTGAGCAGAACGTAGATGTTCTGCGAAGCAGTCGCCAAGTCTACACTTCGTTTCCCCAATGTAGAGGAGACCACATTGTGAGCAGCGAATGCGGTAGACTAGATTCTTGGAAGTGCAGGTGAAGTATTGCTTCACCTGGAAGGTATGTTTGCACCCTTGGATACTGGGGAGGGAGGAGGTAAATGCGCAGGTGTTGCACCTTCGCCGGTTACAGGGGAAGCTGCCGGAGGGCTGTGGGGAGGTGTTGGGGGTGAAGGAAGTATGGATCAGGGTGTCCCAGAGAGAACGGTCCCTGCGGAAGGCGGACAAGGGAGGGGAGGGGAATATGTGTCTGGTGGTGGCATCTTGCTGGAGGTGGCAGAAATGGCGTCTGATGATCCAACACTTCACCTGCACTTCCAAGAATCTAGTCTACCGCATTCGCTGCTCACAATGTGGTCTCCTCTACATTGGGGAAACGAAGCGTAGACTTGGCGACCTGAAGGATCACCGGACCTGAAACGTTAACTCTGTTTTCTCCTCAACAGATGCTGCCAGACTTGCTGAGCTTTTCCAGTAAATTTGTTTTTGTTCCTGATTTACAGCATCTGCAGTTCTTTTGGTTTTCACTTTCAGAGAATTATGCACATGAACCCCCAAGATCCCTCTGTTCCCGTACTTCCCTCAAAGTTGTACCAATGAGCCTGTATTGTCTCTCCATATTTTTTTTCTAAAAAATTGCATTATCTCACGTTTCTCTGCATTGAAATTCATCTGCCAGGTGTCTGCCCATTTGGCCAATTTGTCAATATCCCTCTGAAGTTGCTCAGCATAAGGCTCAAAATTCACCATTCTCCTTAGCTTGGTATCATCTGCAAATTTAGAGATTTTTGCTCTCAAAATCTATCTCCAAATCATTTGTGTAAGTCAGGAAAAGCAAGGGACCCAACAATAATCCATGGGGAACACCACTTTGAACTCGTCTCCAAGCTGGGAAATGCCCCTCTATACCTACCTTCTGTTTCCTATCTTTTAACCAACTTCTAAACCATGCTGCCAAGGACCCATCAATCCCAAACATTTGTAATTTGCTAACCAATCTGCCGTGCGACACCGTATCAAATGCTTTCTTAAAGTCTAAACATAGAACACCTACATTACTACCTTCATCCATTGCCTGTGCCACCTCATTGAAGAACTCAATCAAATTTGTCCGACATGACCTGCCCTTGGCAAAGGTATATTGACTGTCTAGTGTTAACTTATGTTTCTCTGTGTCTACTTAACCTTATCCCGTATTATGGCATCCATCAGTTTTCCTGCTATTGACGTCAAACAGACAGGTCTGAAGTTTCCTGGGTTATCCTTTGCCCCTTTCTTAAAGAACAGTGTCATGTTTGCAATCCTCCAGTCCCCTGGGACCAATCCTGCATTCAGAGAAGCCTGGAAAATTTCTGTTATCAGTTCCACAATTGCTCCCTTACCCACCTCAGCAATTTAGGATGCATCCTATCCGGACCTGGCAACTTCTCTACCTGTAGTGCTGCCAGCCTTTTTTAACCACTTCTTTATCTATCACTATACTGCTCCATTGCTCAACATCCACATTTTTAACTCTGCCATTGTTCCCATTTTCTAATGGTGCAACATACTCATTTAATACCTCTGCCATAACATTTGCTTCAGTGAGCAACTTAGCCTGCCTGTTCCTTATGGGCCCCACTCTATCCTTCACAAATCTTTTATTATTAATATAGTTTGATAAACATTTTACTGTTTGTTTTAGCACAGCCTGTCATTGTTTCCTCATGCCTCCTGTTAGCCTTTCTTATTCCAGCCTTAACCTCTCTCTGCATTTGAGATACTCTTCCTGATTGGTATTGCTAGGATTATTCTAGAATGTATCATATCCCTCTTTTTTTAAAATTTCTCATCAATACTATATTAATATAGTCAAGCATCCTTTGATTTTTTTTCCGCAGGGATAGTTATCAGGGCAGGTATTTGACATTTGAGTCACAAAAGGAGACATTAGGATAGATGAGCATCAACTTGAACAGAGTGAGGTAGTAAGGAGTATCCGAAAGGAAGATAATGAGTTAGGGAGGCAGAGGAAGAGAGTTCCCAGACCATAGCAATTAGAGGTATTGTCCAAATGATAGAGTGCACAAAATAAGATGCGCAAGCAGTCAGAATTTGAACAGGGCAGAAAACTCAAAGACTTTGTTGGGCTGAAAGAAGCACAGATGATATGAAGGGGTAAACCCACAGTCACTATCATATAGGATGTCATTTGTGACTTTGTTAAGAACTGTTCCTGCATTTAGTTAGGCAGAAACCCAATTGGAACGATTTATACATGCTGCAGCAAAGGTCTTTTGAGGGGTGACTTCATGTTCATGGACTTGACAAATCATTATTAAATGTTTTGAAAATTGAGCTCAAACTCTAGTGTTTGTGCATTTTCTACATATAACCATGTCTACACTTCAAAACTAATCTGTAGGTTGTAAAGTGATTTTGGATATCTTGAGGACATGAAAAGCATAACATAAGTACAAGTTTTTTTTTGCCAACCTGAGGATTTTGAAGCCAATTGCAATGTCTCACAACCCACTGAGATCAATTTAGCAGAGACTGTGTGGCCTTCCTGATATAAAAACATCACTACCATGCCAAGTAACTTATTTATGCTATGATCCATCAGACTTTAGTGGACACTTTAAATTCTCTGTTTTCCATCTGAAAATAAAACAGAAACATATTTGAAATGAAAATCAAAGTATATTGAATTATTGAAGGGCATGTATTTAAAGTAGTTAGTGAACAAACCAAAGAGGAAATGAAGAAAAATGTTTAAGATTTTGAATGCACTGTCTGATGGTGATGATTACAGATTCAACAATAATGTTCAAAAAGAATTTGAATATAAGGCTGTGTTTGCAGCCACTGCAACTGTGAGCTCATATAGTTAGAGTGCACATGATGTCACTGCCAGTGATGCTGCAAGTTGCTGCCTGGACCAGAGAACAATGAAATTGAACTCACTGTTATGCAGAAAGCACCATTTAATTAAAACTTAACTTGTTTCTTAAATGTATATCTTTGCTTACTGGAATGTTGAGATCTTGAATGGGACAGTAAGAGTGAATGTGTCTTAGGGGATGGCAAATATCCAACAGATATTTCGGTGTACAATATTAACTGCACTGCACGTGGGCCTATGGACAGACTGGGTGCTGATTTCTGTTCCAGCTGCATATCAACAATGTCAGTGGCACTGATTTCCTGTTCCAGTGCAGTGATGGGGCATATAATGATTGGGCAAATCTGTGGAAAGAATCAGTTATACTCAAATTGACACACTTCCCTCCTTTTGGAAAATGGTGTGGAGTGTTTGAAGGTTTTTGGGCTACGTGACATCCTGTTGAACTGTGCTGTGAGTCCTCCATCTGTGGCCAACTAATCCTGGAGTTGAACTTAAAATCTGAACCTTTTGGTATTGATGCTAAAGCACTACCAATTGAGCCACAAGACTTCCAAAAGAATGGAAGAATGGGACTAATTGAATTAAACCATAGAATGCTTTCAGTGCACAGAGACCATTTTATTCATCAAGCTCATGCAGACCTCTGCAAAGAAATTGCTCATAAAGAGCTTATATGGACTCAAAGGACTGAATATCCTGTGTCTTTGCTGTGTTGTAAATCTGAGATACATCTTTGTGATTAAACTAATCCTCTTTTCTTTTCTTCCTCAAATAGGCATGATAACTGACCTCTTCATAGATAAATTCAAATTCAAAGGCACCAACGTGAAAACAAAGGTTCCCCTTTTGCTGGAGATTTTAGATAATTATGATCCTAAAAGTCTTATGGCTTTTTTTAATTCAGCCTAGAGAAAGTACTCAAAGCCTGTTTAAAAAGCAATGTAATTTCCTAACCATGAGTGTTTTATAGTGGTGAAATGTTATGATTTGAAGCAGTAGTGGAACAGACATTGTTTTCTTGATGGGAAGAATGAATGATCATGCTATTATAAAGGTGTTTAAAGGACGAGTTTCTCTCAGTTTCCCATCTTGATTTCAGCAGATGATCTGCGGAAATCCTGGATATGTGGTTAAAAACAGTTTTAAATGCTATTGCATTAAATTTCTAAAATAGTCCCCCAGCTTTAAGCACGAGTGGGAGAATTCTTGTGATATGACTCCTTAATATCCAGCAAAATAAATAAGGTGGTGTAATATGTTGTAATTACTGGTGTGAGTCCGCGCATTTTTAAAATAGTAGTTGATAAATAATTTTAAAAGATTTTTTTGGAGTTTTGAAACAACTGGCAAAAACCCCATTCTTTTACAGTTATCCAGAATGGATGAATGCCCATTAAGCCCTTACGCTCACATACATATTCTGCCAATACGCAAACCTGAAGTTAGATTCATGGTTCATGCAGCGTTTGTTTGGATTTTGAGAAATTGCCATTCAAAGTCAAGCATCCATTTTGAAATAGACTGTGAGAATCCAGCAAATCTTTTTTAATATAATTTGCTTACTTACACACTTATAATTTTATGTTAAAGCGATATATGGTTGTCTTTTGATAATAATGGGCAAAGCATAATTTTCTTAATCTTTTTCTGAACAGCATTATTGCTTGTACCTGACATCATAAAATATCTGGTTAGCCTAGAGACCCTTTTTTATGGTAACATGTTGACCCCTAGGATCCTAGAAGAGCAGTTTCCATCTACACTATTTTGAAATGCACTAAATTTTTGATACACTGGGTTAAAATAAAATACACACTCGTTAATGTTACATACATAAAATAATCATGTCAATTTTGTGTAAATTCTTAAAAGAATATACAATTCCCCAAATGCATTTATGCATTCTTATTACAGGAACATCAGTTTTTGAAAATCTTCTAATGTTATTGTTCATTCCCATCCTCAAAATTTCTGTTAAATTTCCAGAGCTGAAATCTTACCTACTAACTTTGTAACTGATGAATGTGTGAGAGGAATAGTCTTTTTATGTGACAAATACAGTCCATCACATCTCTCCAATAGTATTATATTGAAGCAGATGTTTGAAGTATTTTCCAGCTTTTGTTCTTTTGTTTCGCTGTTAGTCATCGATGTAGTGATTGTATTGTAAATAGAATGGATTGTAAATATGGTGGTGCTAAAAAAATCAATAATATTAAATTTGAATATGTTCATCAAATCTCCGTTGCAGCAATTAATCATTTTGGTACACTTTTCTGTTTAAAAACATTATGAAAGTTTGATGTATGTAAAACGTATGGACTTTCATAAAGTAAACCATCTGTCACATCTTTTTTTAAACTGTCGGCAGCCTTTAATACTGTGACCATATCAGATTCCTCCAATGCTTCTCCATCATTATGCAGCTGTCACACGACACCAGGTTATCGTCCAACAGGTTTATGTAAAATCATATGCTTTCAGAGCGCTGCTTCTTCGTCAGGTGACTTCTGACTATGCACCCCAGTCCAAAACCGGCATCTCCACATCATGGTTATACAGCTGAATGGTGCTGCGGCATTGAGTTGAATTCTTATCTGTCCATCTAGCCATAGAATTGTCTTCAATGATTTTTCCTCTTGCTCCTGTACTGTTGCCTCTGGTGACCCCAAGGACTGAGCCAAGAATAGATCATGTTACTCATTTTCAAACTGTCCCTAGGCAACAATCTGAAAACAAAATGTCCATTTTCACATTTTTTTTAATTCATTCATTGGATGACAGTGTCGTTGGCTCGGCCAGCATTTATTGCCCTTCCCAGTTGCCCAGAGGGCAGTCAAGAGTCAACCACGCTGCTGTGGGCCACATCAAATTCCACCATATGCCATGGCAGGAATTGAAATAGGTCCCCAGAACATTACCTGTGTTGCTGGATTTACAGTCCGGCGATAATACTATTTGGCTATTGCCTCCCTTAAAGTCACTTCACCCAAAAGCTTGTGATTTCAAATAACCCTGTTAGACTACAACCTGGTGTTGTGTGACTTCTGACTTTGTCCACCCCAGTCCAACACTGGCACCTCCACATTATGGTATTTCAAGCAACCCTGATTTTTATCACACCACCGTTGGTGACTGTGCTCTAAGCAGCCAAAATCTAAACTCTGGAATTCTTTCCCTAAACCTTTCTACATCCTTTTCCTCCTTTTAAGATGTTCCTTAATGTCACATTTTAGATTGATGTCCTCATATGTAAACTGGTCTTTTTTATTCCTTTTTCAACACCCATGTATTTAGGGGATGGGATGGGTGAATCCATCAAGATGTTCCTTCAAACCTATCTCTTTAATGAAAATATCCTAATATTTCCTATATCTCTGTTAAATTTTATCCATAATACACTTCAAATTACCTCGGAAAGTTCAATATTTTAAAGACACTGTAAAAATAGATTTTGGTGTTATTTGATCAAGAAAACACCATTTGAAGAACACCATGATCAAATTATGGAAGATGGACTGTCGTATGAGTAATTGTCCAAATATTTCTTGAACATAACCATCTCAAACATTCTTGCGTTTCTCTTGTCACTAGATATAGAATTATGTGTTTGTTGAGATTTCAACTTAACATCACTGTCTTATGATATGCTTGTCACCTGGGCAGTGCGCTGGAAATCAAACCCCACTATTCCCAAAGTCTTCACAAATGTGAATATTCCATTAAACTATTGAATTACTCAATTCTACCCAACCATCTTAATTCAGGTTAAAATAATATGCACCCTGTTTTTTTTTAAAAACATTGTATTAACTATTGTAATCAAATTTTTTAATCAACAGTCAGAAAAGTGTGAATTGCTAATTTAATACTCTATAACATAAAATTCCTAACTACCTATGAACAAATGCACAAAGAGATGAGACACAAATATTATGAATGGGGAGGGGAACAAAATCAGAAAAGCACAGTTCTGGCTCTAGTCCAGATCATAGACATCAATGAGTTTTTACATTCAGCTTTATTTGACTCCTCTGATCTTTTAATGATGCAAAGTGTACATGCACCAGTTCTCAATCTTTCAATCACTGAAGAGTGAGTGGACATGTGCACGTGGAGCCCATAGAGAGAGAGAGGAAAAAAAATTAGGCAGACAAAGGGATGGTCAATAGTAAGAAAAACTGATAATGAATAGATAAAAATGGTAGGCTGTGCTGAAGCCAGCCTGTGTCAGGGCAGGATCTGGAGTATGAAGGTAGATAAAGGACAGGAAAGGTGGTGTTCAGGCTGTAAAATTAATGAACTCTATATTGGATCCTGAAGGCTGTAGGATCCACAAGTGGAAAATGAGATGCTGTTCCTCCAACTTGTGCAGAGCCATGCTGAAGAATTGCTGCAAGCCTGATTGAGAAATGTTGGCCAATGAACACGGTGGTGTGTTGAAATGGCAGGCAACAAGTTTGGGGTCATTTTTATGAATAGAAAGTACATGTTCTGTAAAGTAGTCACCCAGTCTGCACTTTCATCTCACCAATGTAGAGGAAACTGCATGGTGAGCAGTGAATACAGCAGGCTAGATTGAGAGAAGTTCATATAATTGTTGCTTCACCTGGAAGGTTTTGTCTGGAGCTTTGGACAGTGATGAGTGAGGAGGTAAAACAATTTCTATGTGTAGTCACAAATGGAAAATGGGTGCAGTCACACATGGAGTGGGCAGAGACTTTGTTACTGTTCCAACATGGGCTGCAGTTCTGAGTGATGGGAGGACCAACAAGTTGGTTTTAGTAGGTGTGGCAGGGAGACTGTATACACATCATGTGGAGAGGGCCATATCGAAATGCAGCTGAGTTCATCAATAGAAAAGGGTTCTATTCCATTAAGTGACCTGATCAGTGGTATCATTTCTTAGAAGATTGACACGTATCCTGGGTGCTGTCTTGATGCCTTTATCTTTGAGAACTCTCATGTTCCTGCTGTGTTTGAGGCTAGGTACTTCACAATTTTTGGGGAGGTTGTGGAGGGGGTGTGGTCAAGGGGGTACCCTCTGCAACCGTGGCTGACAACTCCACTCTGCAACCCTAACTGACCTGCAGCACAGATAAAATGCAGACCATTCTTCAATTAGTCCATAGTGCAGCAAATGACAGGCCTGCTGGAAAAGAGACTCAACCACTTGGACTAATCTTCGGGGCCTTACGTTACACTTCAGAATGTGCTGCATAATCCTACCATGCTCTACTTTGTATGATTGCAGCAGGTAAAAAGGGGATATGATGAAGGCTGATTACATGGATAGACGGAGCAGTCTTCAAAGAGGATGTGGAATTGAACAGGAGAGCATCACCTACTGCATGAAAGAGTGCAGAAATGTTGGACTTTACTTGACATCCTGTTCCAGTAATTGAAAGTTGGATGCAGTGATCATTCATTAACTGCAAATTTGATGGTGCTCAACCAACAAGCAGTGCATTTCTGTTGAGAGACGCGGTTTTATCATTTTTTATTCACTATAATTCCTAAAGCTGAAGGAACAACAGCAATACATATTTTTGTATTATGCCTTTTATGTAGTAAAATGTCCCAAAACACTCTATTGGAGTACTGTAAATAGCAGATTATAAGATGACCCTATTTTCTGGCCCCAAAAGAAATTCTTTGCATATTCTTGGCATAAACATTGACCCCCATTTTCAGCCATGACATATTGTACTCACATTAGTAATCAGCCTTCAATTTTTCACCTTGCAAATGTATATGTGGCACCTATATAACTGGGCACAAGTGATCAAGCAGGCAATATGGACTGTGATGTGAAGGTGTGCAGGAGTTTAATTAGTGCCCACTCTTCACATTGGATGCCAATTACATATAAAAAAGGCAATCACCAATGCCGGCTCTCAACTTTTATACATGCCATACATGTTAACCCCTATTTTTTGGAGGAATCTTCCAAGGCTTTGAAAATCAACGAATATGTTGACATCTAGAAAATATAAAATAATATATCATCTTGAGCCCCATAAAAAAATTAGGTCAAGATAGCCAAATGTTTGATCAAAGAGGTAGGTTTTAAGGAATGTTTGAGGAGGACTGACAGATAGTGAGATGGAGAGATGCAGATAGGAAGATTCAGAGCTTAGTGTTCAGACAAATCAACCAATGGTGCAGCAAGTAAAATTAGGGATGTTCCAGGGCACAGAATTATCTTTGAGGGTTGATCTGGAGATTACTGAGATATAAGGGTGTGGGACCATTTTTGGCTGCTACTTAGAATATTCATTAGCTCATAACATTGACATCTAATAAATAATAAGCAATAACTTTATCTCCTACTCTTTTTCTACCTGAAATGTCCTGTGTTGAATTAAAATTCCATGGGTCTAACCTAATTTGTTAATCTGCCAACAGGAGTCCAGACAGTATGTTATGAAATTAAGATACTAATTTGCAAACAAGGATGAAAATATTAAAATCAAGATACTGCTTCATCAGGAGCTAGTGTATAATAGTGCACAGATTAGGTCATGAGCATCAGGATTTTGAATAACCTCATGTTTACAGAGGTAGAATATAGGAGACCAGATAGAAAGGCATTGGAATAATCAAGTACAAGTAATCAAGTGAGCCGGGCCAGATGCAAAGTTGGACAATGTTATGGAGATGGAAAGTGTTGCAATTATATGGTTAGAAGTTCATCTTGGAGGCAAATATGACAACAAACTTGCAAACAGTCTGGATTATTCTCAGGCTGCAGCCAGGAAGAAAGGCACAGTCAGCAGATAGTGAACTGAAAACAATTGCTGCAGCCTGCTTAAGTTTTAAATGGGAGCAAACATACTTTATAATGTGCTCTTTGTAATGAGAATTTTCAGTGTTACCGTATATTATAACATTATAGCGATGGGTCATTATGCTACTTTTGGTGTTATTACCTGTGTGACAGTTATTGTACAACAGTAATTTAACTATTTTGTAGTTCACAAAGTTACCACATGGTGGCAACTAACTCCAAATTTCTTAAGTAAAACTTGAGTTCTGGACAGTTTCATCCAGTCTATTTCCCAAACAACTATTGATCACATGATACTCGTGGATAAGCAAGGTCGTTTGGTCCATTCTCATTGATGAATCCCAAACAAAACCTAATTCAATTATTCCAATGATGTCACCTCACTTTGCTTGGAGCCTATTCCAAGTGTTTCCTCTTGGAATGCGCAGCCTGAGAGAGTGGTGGAGGCA